CTGGCATCTGAAAAGCGAAAATCTCCGTAGGTTGAAAGTTTTAGTCGGTACGCAAAATAAAATGCTTTAACGATAAATTGTAAAGTTCCTTGTTTTGTAGTTATTCATTAAATTGGTTTGCCAAAAAACCCACGCTGCAGGTGTCAAAAGACCAAGTCTGACAAACTCAAACAGCTGGAAGAAGCCAGAGCAGGATGATATGAAATGACGAAACCATAAACACTAAGTCCCTAACACGCACGCACGCGTGCGCTCACATACACACAGACACACACACAAACAAAGAAACAAACTAACAACCTTTCAATTTAAGGTTTCGTGATCTTTTAGATCACAAGACTAAACAAAAAAAATGAAAAAAATTGAAAAATCCACCTTAAAATCTTAAAATCATGTTGGTTTGCAAGGTTCTGGAAACCAACTCACATTGAATTTCAACAAATTTAAACCCTTTATTGTTGTCTTATATTCTAAATTAATTAGAGCTTCACGTAGGAAAAAAAAACTCGTGAGAACGGCACCATCTGCTGGTACTCTGAAGGATGCAGGAAGGTACGGGAGCAGGAGTGTTCGAATCCTTGAATCAAATACTCAAACCCTATGGGAAAATACACAAGCGGCTTCCAGCCTGAAATCGATGGATTGAGAGATGTACCCGGTTCAACTTGAACAAAGGGTACAAAATCAGGACAGCCAAGCAACCATCACATCACTAAGTTTGAAAGCTCAAAGCTGGTGCTGAATTGCTAAATTAAACTAAACAGTTTAGGTATGCAAAATAAAAACACCCTCTGCTGGGTCCCAGAAGATGTGGAAGTAGAGGGCAACGACTACCGCTGATAGTCTTTCTGTGGCATAGGGATTCACACAATCAAAACGTATTTGATACAAAAGGGCTAAATGAAAATGAGGGAGACTAGTGGAAGTCCAAGAAACGTCTAGCAACTTTTGGATGAAGGAAGCAAGAAAAAACTTCGAATCTTGGCAGGATTCTTAACAGGATACTGCAGACTGAATGGTCATTACATAGAAGATTGGAATAATCCAACATGGCACGTGCAGATTCTGCAAGTAAATAGAGGAGACACCAACATTATTAACAAACAGGCGCCACATTTGCCCGCAGGAGGAAGTGTTTTGGTATGTACAACGTAACCGAAGAAGAAATTCAACCACTGAAACTGGGCTAATCAAATTTCGAAGAACCAGAATTAACCGATGTGCTAGGTACAGAACGGGGATACTATAGCTCTCAAAGAACGCATTACACACCCCGAACGTATGAGGTATATTTATTATAATACACACACTTTCTGTTTGCTCTTGCGATAATTTTGAACCAATACAAACGTCATATATAGCTGCTTACTGTAATAAAACGTCAGCTGTTTGGTTGGATGGACTGTGGTGGTAAAACGACCATGCATTTTATTGAAGTGCGTGATTTACACGAAATTTCCTGAGAGGTATTGAATTCTCAACCCAAAATGAACAAAACAAAACATTCATACTCGTCGATGTTCTAAGCATAACTTTTAGCCGAACAGTCTACTGTTCCAAGCTCTGCTGAACCACGACTGCGGTATTCCGGTAATTCAATAGTACCCCAGTATTGTTATTTTCTTCAGAACATTGAGATTCAGTTCCTTTATTCTCATTTAGGAATGTGTCTAGCACATCATTTACTATAGAATACAGGTGGTGTATTGGCCATCATGAAAAGGCGTTTTCATGGCATTTTAGCCTTATTATAACTGTAGTATTACGTTTTAGCTAAGGACGGGACGTCCCAACCTCCGGATCTAACCACCCGACCCGGTCCCATGACAGTAAAAAAAACAATAAAAACATGATTTAAAGAAAGTGGCAGCGTCGGTGGGCCGGATGGGCAGAGACGCTCATGCATATCAAAATAGATAGACCTCGGAGGACCTGACTCGTACAAGAGGAATCGTCCTCACACGATTAAGAATAGGCTACAATTATAATATTACTAGCATGACATATACGCCTTTTCATAATGGCCTATGGCTGATCCAATGGATAAGACACTTGATGTGTCTTCGTCTGGAAATTCAACAGTTCTTTAATTCTTCTTAATCTTCTTCTAAATTAGCCATGAGTCGGTCAAAACGTCATGAGATCGGTGGTGCTGTGGCAATCAAGCGGTGGCGTTAAACCAGGAGTATATAGAAAAAACTAAAGTAAGAGAGAGCTTCGAAATATTTGAAAAGTATAATACATCTGCACAAACACTCGAATGCATTAGAAAGAGATAATGTGTCAATTCGTTTATATTACAAAAGGAGTTGGCCTAGTGTGGGCTGGTTAAAAGCCCTGGTGCAGCATCCTTTTAGGCTTATCGTCCTTAGATTACCCGAAAGTCCGTGCAAATCGTCATTCTTACCGTTGCAAAAACAAATAGCAAAGTGTGAAAGTGAAGCACCGTATTACGGTTAAGATATTTCAACATTGGGAACTCCAGCATTCGTGATTAACCTGTAGATAATGCAGAATTACTCACAATTACGCCTCTCGGTTCTTCACTGTTCAGAGTCCATTTACTACATCATAAGTTTTGATGATAACAAAGAGGGCCGAAATTAGTGTTTAGATTTGGGTTTTGCCTTAAATTGTCTCACTAAGGAGTTCCGATAATGTAACGCGGTTTAAAAATTCATCCGGTTCTGCGTTATCTTCTATATATTCGATGATCATGAAGATTGACACTAGAATGTGGGGGTTTTGATCCCCAAGCACTGCTTCTGGCTTATTGTACTTTCCTAGTTCCTTAGTTCAGCCATCGACTCGATCCTAATCCGAGGTGGATCCAAACATGCGGTATTCACCTTTTGCCGATTGCTGCCGGACATTTGCCAAGTCTCGAGATAGCATTCGCCAAATATCATGCCTATGTATACAAACATGCGGGGTTCGTACAACCACTCTTAATACCAATCGTGACGGACATCAGTGCAACTGTCTGTGGCTCCAGGTGCGATTACAGGTTTTGTGCAGTGGCTACTCAGTCACAAAGCAGTCATAAAGTATTTTTGACCCATTTTACTTTCGATCCTTTTCCACGCATCGAAAACCTTGGTCCGATTTTTGTGATTCGGAAGAGAAGCGGTCCAAATTATTGGTTCAGCTTGTTACAGATCGAGGAACTCCAAGTCTGTTATATTCATCATTAGTCAATCCATTCCTAACGGACAGAAACAACTATGATGTTCTTTCATTGATACATCTATATCTTTTAGGAATCGTTTATTATTTAAAAATAAACAGCAGCATTGATTGATGATTACAGGATATCCGTAGAGTACAGTTCATTCCCGAATGTTTGTTACACGAAATTCCCTTGTGCCCTGGTACTCAAGCTATCGTCATGTTATTGTTTTCCCCCAGGTTTTGGAGATTTTGGATGCATTCTAGGGCACAAGCATTGATGGCATGTATTTTTGACCATGAAAGGTGATCGTACTTCCTTAATGAATTTGATTGCTCATGTATTGGGCTTGTACAAAAAACGTCTGATGCGGTTCCTTCATGCGTTTTGTAGCCATCTGTATACATATCATTGTATCTCATGTTTTCCTGAATTCTTCTTCTCCTTTGTAGTCTGTTGAAATTTTATAGGATATTGCAAAGGGTGTTACCGGGATCATGTAATCAGTCCCCAGTCAGTTTCTAAGAATAGGTGTCTGATTTTATTGATCACTGTTGTGTGCCTGAGGTGTTTAGTTCCCATTCAGTTTGATTGTTTCTGAAGCCAAAATGAGCTTTGCCTAGCGCTTCCTTGGCTAAATTTTTCCAATGAAGGTAGGTTTAGCAGTGTTTGGGATGCAATTCAGTGCCCTGTTAAGTTTGCCAACCTTGCTGCCTAATGTTTGGGTAACTTGTTTTTGTTGAGCTTTCATCCAATAGATTAGTGATCCACACTATAACATTTTGGTGTTATATGTTTAATCTGTTAGATGCTTCTTGTTTAGCAAGTTTGTCTTTATACTTCACTTTTTCTTTCTGCGGTGATACCATTACTTGGTTATTTTGATCAGTGATGGCAGGTTTTTACCGGACGCTCCTTCCAGTTTGATACACGTCTATATTTTTGTTAATGAATAATTTGGAAATCGTGAGATGCGGTCTGGTGTGACGTAGGTTTAGAAAAACATTTTCTTTACCGTGCCAACGTTTCGATCTTTAATGAGATCATCTTCAGAGCTCAAAGTGTTTGTTTTCTGCGTAGTTGTGTCAATCTTATGTGTCGTGGCACTCTCATCGAGTCCTCCAGTCAGTAGAAGTCCTCCAGGGTGCAGGGAAGGTGCAGATGTGGAAATCCCTAGTTTTCTAAACATTCGTACATAAACAACTCTGCCTCTATGAGGTCTGGCATTGTCATTCAGAAATTGAAAATCCCAGCCAATGAGTTCCCTGGTTTGAGGGATGTATTCCTCGATATTTTCTTGGGCATAACGGACTGCAGTGAGGTTACCTTCAACCGTAGAGAGTCCAGTTCGTCCTCCAGGGTAAATCCCAGCCCAGACCAATTCACCGTCTTCTCCAAACTGCACTGAAGGGAGCACAAACAGGGGCATTGTGCGTATCCCCGTTCTCGGTAGACTCTTCAGCGCCTGTTATCACTTTTGGTAAGACAAGACTTAGAACTGTGGTTCTAATAGTCAGATGAGTTGGGTAGGTAAATGTAAAAAAGGCATGCAGTTTATGAGAGGGTAAGCAACAACTCTTAGGAGTCTGATCACAATTTTACCTATTACCTTCAGTATAAAAGAGAGGCTCCATAACTTAGATGTAATTAGTGTCTAGTTTTGGTGCAAAAATCACTTTTGTGTTAGTCATACTGGGGATTAGTGTACAAATTTGTTTGAATTTTTACAAAGATAAATAATTCACGCATTTTTGCACAATAAAATTTGCAAACTAAAACCCTCGATTGCATGTGATAATTGTACTATTTGATTTGTCAAACTTTGTTCCAGATGATTGCACTACTGTGGATTGTTATTGTACTGATGATGGTGATCGTTAGTCCGAAGCTGATTTTGATCGCCGCCGAAAATCCAGAATTGTCTTCTCTCATGATGCTGCGGCTCACTACAGTCGAAATGGTCTCTGTATAGCGTACAACAACAGGCCCAATGGTCTTTGGAAAAAAACTATGACCATCTGTGTATATGGTCAAAATATTTATTTCTATCCGTTGAACGGAACCAGACACTAAATAGTGCGAGTGGCACTCATCTTTGTTTATATTATTTTCCATTTGCTCATCATTTATTTCTTAGACGCTAGTTTATTATGTATGTAAAAGTTTCGTCTATGAATAGATGTCATAACAACAAATAGTATTTATTTATTCTTCCTGAAATTACGCTCTTTGTAACTACTAAGCTTTTTACTATTAATGTATTTATCGCAAATTTGGTCAGTTGAGGCCTGTTTCCTTGTCCTTTATTCACTTTCCAATTGAAAATAAAGGTAAAAGTGTACATGATACATCGTGATGTTGACATCGTCATCCCTCAAGACCTGGGGCAAGATATGTCGACGGACACGTCGCCGAGTCAGGAAATTTGAGAAAAAATCAAGATAAAACAATAAAAAAAGGAAATTTCTTGTTGGTCAAGCTTCTTCTTTAAGTCAATGTTCCGAAATATCAAAGGACTAGATAGAGATAGAGAGATAGATAAATAGGTAGATGAATAGATAGAGGGAGAGAAACAAACAGGAAAACAGCTAGATAGACGCACATACATACACAGAAAAAGAGAGAGTGCTAGTGACAGAAACAAACGAGAAAACAGCTAGACAGAGACAGTAGCACTGGATATATATATATATATATATAATGGACAAAGTGAGAAAGACGGACATAGGAAAAAAGACATAATGACAGATAGAGATAGATAGATAAATAGATAGATAGAAAGAGCGAGAGAGAGAGAGAGAGAGAGATAGTGGGAGAAACAAATAGGAAAACAGCTAAATAGACACATACAGAAAAAGAGAGAGTGATAGTGAGAGAAACAAACGTGAAAACAGCTAGACAGAGGCATTAGGACTGGAGAGTTATATAGACAGACGAAAAAACATCAAGAGAAAGACAGACTCAGTGAAAGACATAGAAAGACAGATAGAAATAGATAGATAGATAGAGATAGAGAGAGACAGACAAACAGAAAGACAGAGAGAGAGACAGAGGGAGACAGTCCGAAAAACAGAGATAGAAAAACAGAGAGGGTCAGAGAGAGAGAGAAAGAGGGAGAGAGAGTCTGAAAAACAGAGAAGGTCAGAGAGAGAGAGAGAGAGAGAGAGAGAGAGAGAGAGAGAGAGAGAGAGAGAGAGTGAGTGAGTGAGTGAGTGTGGTGTGTGTGTGTGTGTGTGTGTGTGTATGTGTGCGCGCGTGCGTGCGCGTGTGTTGTGTGTGAGTGTGTGCGTGTGTGCGTGCGTGCGTGCGTGCGTGCGTGCGTGCGTGCGTGTGCGTGCGTGTGTGTGTGTGTGTGTGTGTGTGCGTGCGTGCGTGCGTGCGTGCGTGCGTGTGTGTGTGTGTGTGTGTGTGTGTGTGTGTGTGTGTGTGTGTGTGTGTGTGTGTGTGTGTGTGTGTCGCCCAAAATGACTCCTTATTGAAAGCTTCTTCCCTTTTGTTAATCGGTCCGTCATTGCTACGATTTAAGATTTTCTATTATCTTATTCTGGGTAGGATTTGTCCAACAATGTTAAATAAACCTTTAAACTACACAAAGAGATATAGAAAATAAAACAAAGCATTAAAACGGTTAAAACAATGTTGATAAATGGATCAATACTTTTGTTAAAGAGAAACGATTACGACACGAAAAAACCAAAACAATTCATACTTTAATCAATACAATAATTCATCAATTAATTATAATTTGAAAAAGCTTAAGAAGACTGTCTTTTCCTTAAAAAACTCAGTTGTCAACTAACATTCAGAAACTATTTCTGATAGACCAACCCCCGTATCATCTATGTCTATAAAACCAGCAGAACATTATTTAAACGATACTTCAGCAAATAATTAATTTAATTTTAATAATTAAAACTAGACATCGGCTAGAACAAGAGATTGAGTCTTCTGCTGACTCAATGCGAGATTACATAGACCTTGACCTCACGAATATATGTCAAGCCTCGGCCAAAGTGAACGTGGACTGTCGTTTTTTAATTTCAAAATTGTATTTCAAATTGTATATCGTCTGTACCATTTAGGCGTAAATAAAAAAATATCAGGCTTAATATAAATAATATAAAATAATATCGACTTACAACAACGATAGAACGGTTGCAGATTATTTTCTTTATTAATTATAAAAAAGAATTTATAAATTATTAAAAGAGTATATAAATGGAAAATAAAAAGAATACATAAATTCTAGTAATTGCAAATAACCGATGTGTATGATTATTTTGGTTTGTGGGTAAAAGTGCGAGAAAAAAATTCTCAGATGTCCCGTTGCATCAATTTTTTGTATATTGCATTTTCCCAGCAAGATAGGAACGTCGGCTTATATTTGGATGCCTATACTACTCGTACAACTTTCGAGATACGAAAAACGTGCAGACTCGGGGTTTGAATAATTTTGCCTTGACATTTTTCCACCTTCGGCATTTAGAAATTAGGCGCGGTGGGAGAAGAATAAGTAGAAGCAGAGGTACAGCAGTCACGATGGTATAGCGTAGGTCCTTCTACCGTCCCCAAGCAGCCAAGTGGGAGTGAGATTACCTTGGTACAGCGGCCGTGGGCCTATTTACCTTCACACTCGGCTCCAATGAACACTGGCAAAATCCTCAGCAGTCAAGTAAGTGCAATTGGCCAACCATGAAATATCCGACTAACGATTCGCTTCCGGTCGCTATGACCGATCGGAGCCCGCGGTTCCTCCTCTTACACCGACTTTTACAGGCGGACGTTTAGAAAACGAACGAAATACAACTTTATTGGACTTTGATATTTTGCACACCCGAAATGTTGAAATTAATTTGTAAGTCAAAACGATTTCCGGGAAAGGCCAGAGGCAGCCCGCTGCAATCGTTAAGAACGTTGCAACACGTGTAAAAAGATTTTATATAATTAAATCCGACTGCGTCCTGCAATTTTAACTAGTTTCGCCTCTTAGGTCACAGTACATAAACATCAATTAAGTTTTAAGTTGAATTAATTCATTCAATAAAAAAGTGCAATAAGATGTTAAATGGACCATCAAAGAAATTTCTTCTAAAATTCGTGTAATGAACTATCATTCTAATTTTTCTAGAAGGCCCGGCTGAATTTCTCTTGAACATATAACATTATCGAGAAAAAAAATACGTATTTAATATTTTAAAAAATAGTTTTAAATTTTTATCGCTTTTTTAAAATATTTGTAGACAGAGTACGTCCGACCCAGTACAACTTTGTAATTTTATATGAGAAGTACACTTTTATACCCACGGTTTGAAAAGATTTTTAAACTGAAAACTATGGTGGAATCAGATTTTAAATTGACCAAAGAATAACAAATATGTGGCGCAGAATGTGAAGCGATCTTAATCTCGTTTTTACTATTATTTTCATTTGGTAATTTGTCCGTCATTCTTCTCTCAAATAGGTAACCCAAGTTTCCTGAAGAACTTCGATTAAGATATCGAACCCGTACCAACGCGAAAAATTCTTAAAAATGATCTAGTTTTGAAATCCGAAATAAAAATGGGGGTCTGATTTAAAAAGAAAGGTTACATAGGGTATATTTTGTTTAAAAAAAAAATTTTTTTAATTAACCAAAATGTTATTTCAGGAACCTATGAAACATCTAAAAACGACTTTACAACGAAAATAAAAATTAAAAAAATTATCAACATCGGATCAAAATTAAGGAAGTTTGGGGGGAGTTGGAACACCCTGTGTAGGAAAAATGAAACAAAACCCATAAAAAAATGCAATAAAAATACCGATAGCGAACAACCACAGCAGTTAATACAGAAGGTGTAATATCCAATATTAACCTGATTTTAAAAAAAAACACAAAAACGTCAACGTAGGTTGTTCACTATGTTTATTGTCTCTTTTCTATGTATTTTGTTTGATTTTTACGTGGTATTTTTATCTTTTGACTGTGCTTAGTGTAGATATTTTGCCAAAGTTTGGGCTTTGGTTGTTCGCTATGTTTATGGTCTCTTTTTTATGTATTTTGTTTGATTTTTACGTTGAATTTTTCTTTCTTTTTTTAGGTTAAAGATGGGTTTTACAACTTACGTATTAAAGTTCTTTTTTCTTTGTTTAGTTTAGATATTTTGTCCAATTTTTCTGCTTTGGTTGTTCGCTATGTTTATGGTCTCTTTTTTATGTGTTTTGTTTGACTTTTACGTTGAATTTTTCTTTTTTTGGTTAAAGATGGGTTTTACAACTTATGTATTAAAGTTCTTTTTTCTTTGTTTAGTTTAGATATTTTGTCCAATTTTTCTGCTTTGGTTGTTCACTACGCTTATTGTCTCTTTTTTAAGTGTTCTGTTTGATTTTTACCTTGAATTTTTCTTTCTTTTTGTGCTTTTTTGTCAGGTCAAAGGTGAGTTTTACAACTTACGTATTAAAGTTCTTTTTTGCCAGTTTAGTTTAGATATTTTGTCCAATTTTTCTGTTTCAATTGTTCGCTATGTTTATTGTCTGTTTTTTATGTTTTTTGTTGGGAAATAAACTTTACCCAGGACAACAAACACTTGAATTATGATATTTCCCCAATCAGACCGCCAGCACTTTTTTCCCATTTAACATAAAATTTCTGCATTTTGGTTCAATGTAATTAAGGAAAACGGTACTTCGCTAGACAGCTTACAAAACGAAGAAGTTATGAATTTTACGAACACTCTGGAACAAGGTATGGTCTTGAAGAAAGCAAATTTAGTTTGTACTGCCAAGCTTTCGGCCTATGTTAAAGTCATCATCAGGGCAAAACAACCTTTTATTTCTAGTTTGGCATATTTATGCTTTTTTACAGGTGATCTCAAATTTCCTTGAAAACCGGACTCAGTCCCAACATTTGCCAAGGACTGTCCATAGTTCGACGGTCGATACTTCTAATACTACTGAAAGTTACGAATTTTTCCAATGAGGTTGGAAATTAATTTTTTTTGTTTGTATATATTTTAAACTTAGCAGTTTTTGAAAGACTTAGTGTTGTTTTTTTACCAAAAATTAAATTGAAAGTTCTAGAAGTGTTTCTTAAAGGAAATTTAACGCTCTTTTCAAAGGTTTTTTTTTTATTTCCCCAAAAATAAATAGTCTAAGACTTTCTTGTTGAATATGAAGTGTAGAAGCACAGACACTATTCTATTGCAAACTTTTGCTTCTCATGATAAATTTAAAATCCATCAAAAAAGGATAAAATCATCCGGAAAATTATATTTCCTTTTGCAACACCAACGCAACATTATGCAAAAAAACATATTTTAGGACATTTTTTAAAATTCTGAACACCATCGTGAAAGAATTTTTTTTTTTGTATTTGTATTTAATTTGTAATATAGATTTATTTATTCCTGCTTAAACGACATGTTCGATCCTTCTGGTATTTGTCACTTCGTCAAAGATCATCCTTAATTGCGTATTTATTATTATTCTCACTCCACACGTGCAACCAGGTCATTCACAGGAAATTGACAAACACGACCATACCAGTTTGTAAAATCAAAGGCAAACAACTCGGCTCGCGCATAGTTTTACCGTCGCGTGAAAGAAGTAACGGACCGTTCAAAGTTGCATTCACCCGGATATTAACACCAAAGTTGCACTCGATTACGGTACAGTTGCTAAATTAGTTGACTTTCATCAAAATGTTTTCTGTGCAGTGAGGAATTAGACGTCAATGATTTTTTTTACCCGCGTACATACATGTTTAAATAAATGTCATGCTTAGTGATGGTTTCAACAGTCTTGAGCAACTGGAGCAGACTCTTGCAGGTGGGTCAATCCCACCTTCAATTCTGCTTTCTTCCTGCTTGCTTTTATGCGTTCTGAAATTACAATATTTTCAAACTTCCACTGATCCGAACTTTTTATTTTTTTTTCTGTTAAATTCCTCTGAGAGTGCTTAGTCCTATCCTACAGCCTAGTTTCGGCCAGGACATTACCGGCTCCCAAGAAATAACCATGTTGATGATCAGCCTTAGTGACTGGTCAACGTAGAAACACCCACCGGAAATGGTGCTCTGTTAACTTTCAGCTACCGTCGTACCTATACATGGCACGGCATTGAGCTTTGGTAGATTTAACGATGAAAATGGTGAAATGTGATTTCAGCAGGGAAAATCTAATAATTTCCTAGTAGAGGGAAGTTCAACACCATGGAATGGGTTATTACCCGCTCTACAGGCTGATCGTCGAGTTCCTAACGCTGAAGATGATGAGGAACGATTGTTATTATAGCATCCAGTCAAGGACAGTTCAAAATACAGCAGTTTCAATTGTGAATTTTGCCCCATATCTCTGTTTTTTAAATACACCAAAACAAAAATTCAGACACTTGTATTTATTTTCCATAAAACTAGGTATAAAGATTAATAGTTGATTCAATTAATTATTATTGTTATGTAAGGTCTTGGTTGAGATGAAAAAGTTGAAACTGAAATTGAAAATAATTGAAAGAAGTAATTGGTCAATTAGACCGCTAAACATAAATGGATTAATAATTAATACTTGACTAAAATCATAAACAAAGCATTAATAAATTGTTATTTACCTTTATAGTTACTAATCTTTTGACACTCTTCAGATTAAACATTAAAAAAAAAGAGTTCAATGTCATTGTTTTCAGAGCCAACTTGTCAAGCGAATGGGTTTTTTAAATTGTTTTCTTTGATGAAACAATAAACTTGAGTTAATTTTTTTTTCTTAAAAGAATGGTTTTAAGTCAGGAAGATCTTGAGCAGATATTTTGTCCAACGATGGATGTTGCGTCTGTTACATAGCCTGTATCCTGGGAGTGCCATGCTCTACCATCCATGTTGATCCATAGCAGTTTAAAAAGAAAGTCTCGATTGATGAGAAGATAGTGGTCGACTGCGATGCACAATGGCTACAGATGATCATTTTACTGCTCGTACCGCACTATGGAACCGTCATTTAACGGCTTATTTGATAGGTAGTCTCCAAATGGTCTGTAATGTAAGGGTGAGCTCTAAAACAGTCAGTAGAAGGCTTCGTGAGAATAGCTAAGCCTCTGGAAGTATCGCATCAAGTTCTGGAGAGGTAATCATCAAGTAGAAAGGCGACTAGTCACCATCTCGCTTGGAAACATGAACAATGGGGGGACTGTTAAAGGACAGATGAGTGATGGTTTGGTTTGCAGCAATCAGTTCACTTATGGGACATAATAAAGAGATGTATTAGACACTGTTCACCGCCTCCAACAGTCGTTGAACAGCTTCAAATCGCTCTTGTTGAAATGTCGCACATTGACCAAAGATGATCTATAAAATATTATCAGAGGGGGCCGAGTTGATCCGTCTGACCCACTCCTACCCTTCAGGTGTGCTCGAGATATTCAGTTCAGAAGCTCCTCACTACCTTGAGTATTTACATTTGTTCTTAATCCTTATTAATTAAAATCAAAATTATAAATATACATATTTAGTTTTGACTGTGTCAATATCTGCATAATTGCCAAAGTTTTGTGACTGAAAAAATTTCAGTTTTGTTTAATAAGAGAATTTTCAATTTAATCTGTCCTTTTATCTTGTTCCTCTTTGCTGTTGTGTTGTTTATTGTTGTATCTTGTTTTGTTTATGAGCTTGCTTGCAATAAATTTGTTTCACGATCATTTGTTTTATTTTATTTGTTTAACCTTTTAAGAAGAGTAAACTTTTTTTTGTGTGTGTCTTAAACCCATTTTGGGGGCATAAAATTTGAAATAACTCGAAGGGCCGTAACAAAAGGATTTTGTTTCACTAATGCCTAAGAGGCTAACAAATTCTTAGTTTAATTTTAATCAGTCACATTTTCCAGCATTTTGGTGAATTTTCTTTCAAACCATCATATTTTTGTTATAAGAATTACTGATCTCATTTAATTTGATTTACATTAAAATTAGTATGTTGTAATTATTACAACATTAAAATACTGATAGTTTGAAATAAACAACAAAATATGAGTGTCTGGTTTTGTTGCTTACTTTGAATAATTTCATGACATTCTTTATTCCCAACCACTGAAACTATTTTGGCAAAGCTTATTACTTAAAAGGAAAAAATATATAATACAATAGTAATAATAATTAATATAATGTATAATAAGTAGTAGATCTAAGAATCTTGTAACTTAAGAACAATTCCCTGTTCTGTACTTAAATTAAGAATTAAATTAATCTTATCCTTCTATTCAGCTTTCTTTCTGTTATGCATTCTGAAATTAAAATATTTTCAAACTTCCATTGATTTAAGCTTTTTACCTTTTTCTGTTTTACAAATGCCTCTAATAGTGCATAGCCCTGTCCCATACCCTTGTTTAAGTCCTGTCAGCAGTGTTGAAGCTCCCTTCCGTACTAAGTATCATTCATTTCCTTGTACCTCCTATTGTATACTTAGTGCAACACTTTGTCTTAATTTTGTCTATAAATATTATTACTTGCCCGAGTTGCAGTGTTTGTATTTTATGTTCTTAAAATATTTATTCCTGACGAGAAGTCTTCCAGTAAACGTGCAAGTGGTTTGTTTTGCCTCTTTACATAATCTACACAATCGATTTTGTTTGATGTATGTGTTTCACATGAAGAAACATGTTGAAATTATGAGTTTCTTCTTGACTCCCCTAACGCATCGTGCAACATCTTTCTTTTAACAATCATTGTAAAATTATTGTCGGAGCATTTACTATTAATTTTTAGTCTATCCATAATGTAACGAGAGACGTTTGAAGTTTTTGGTTGTTTTAATCATAAAAAGAGGACAAAATAAGAGACTATATTAATAATTAAAAATTAACCATTTGTAATGAAGCATCAAAAAAAGTGCTTCTTTTTTCTTTACTTCCAATGATTACACATTTATAACTGTTGTCATCTTATTTTCTTAGTCTGCACTTTAGTAGTATTTGTTTTTTTTTTGTTCATCCTGATTTGCCTAGCCTTGCTGGTTAACGACCAAACTACTACTGATGACTGCAGAATTTTTTTAGCACAAAATAATGTGCAACTATGTAATGTATAGTAGCTTAATTAATATTTTATTGAGTTAAGATCCTCCATGGTTAATAGTAACATATATTTTTGAATGGTTATGTGCATTTAAAATATTTTTGAGTACTGATTCATTACAATACATTAAAATTTTAAAATATAAACCTTTTTTTATTGTATTTAATTAGTACTGATATTGCTAGCAATATTTTCTAAAAGATTAATTTTGCTGTAATGTTTTTCTAGCTCGTTGCTCTGTCGATCCTTTCGGTATATGGGATACCAGAAAAAGGACTGTTGAAAGTACCTAGGATATACAATGTCTTACTATCATCGAACGAAATGCTCGTGCCGAGTCAAGCCTATCCAGTAATCTCGCCAGTCCTTCAGCCCATCAGTTCAGTATATTTTTCACAAAAGAGCTACGAATTGAACGCCGAAACGACAGAAAAACCGCAGGTGACATCGTACGAGATGCCATCTCATCCCATCGTAGAGCCAGTGCTGTCGCAGAATATAAAAAACCACAAGCCAGTAAACGCCGATATCCCTGATGTTCCACCACCCCCATTGCCATTTACAATTAAAGAAAAACCTCAAAATATGCAAAATGTCTAGAACAGTTAATATGTGATATGTATTTTATATTTTTAAAATAAATAAATATTTTAATTACTTTGTGCCACATGTTAATAATTTGGATATTAATAATGCAATGAACCCCACAGATCACATGCAGTAACGCAGCAGATATATCGTCTTAAAAATGGTTGCAAATAGTAAACTTATAATCATCTGCAAACTACCAGATATCAAAAAAGTTTTTTAAAGGATTTAATAATTGTCCCAATTAAAATTTGTTTAGAAATATTTTATTCAGGGAAATAGTCTTCATCTCTATAACTTTTCCCCAACTTGTTACCAGCTTACTTATCTCCTTCTTATGAAAGTTTAGGTCTCTGGGCTTAAAAAATAAATTCAGCTCATTTTCCAGCTGTTGGCGATAATCGCATTCCCAATTGTGCAATAAAAAAAGTTACTTGACTCAACAAAAAAAAAAAAAAAAAATTACAGGAGAGACAGATGGAAGTTTACTTTTTTTGACTTATGTATAAGTACATGCAATTATGATTGTTGGCAATAAAAACTGTCATGATCCGTCAATATTGCCTTTCATTTATTGTAGACTTAAGCAAAAACCCAAAATTAAAAATTGAGCTGTGCTACCCCCCCCCCAAAAAAAAGGATCCCTTTTGAGTTGTGACACTTGCATATATTGGCTCTCATTACTTTAAATAGTTTGTTTGCTTTAATGATAATGGTCGTCAATGAATAAAGGTATTAATTTCTTATGATAGTAAAAGACAACAAATATACCTAACTAACAAGCATAAAGATCCATATACTATGTTTTACTGAGATTGAATCAAAGAGAGAGAAAGAGAGAGAGATAGTAGTGAGTGGCAGAGAGAGAGAGAGAGAGAGATAATAGTGAGTGACAGAGAGAGAGAGAGATAGTAGTGAGTGGCAGAGAGAGATATAGTAGTGAGTGGCAGAGAGAGGGTGAGAGAGGAAGAGAGAGTGAGTGAATGAGATAGATAGAGTGAGAGAGATTGAGTCAAAGAGAGAGAGAGATAGTAGTGAGTGGTAGAGAGAGATAATAGTGAGTGACAGAGAGAGAGAGAGAGAGAGAGAGAGAGATAGTAGTGAGTGGCAGAGAGAGAGATAATAGTGAGTGGCAGAGAGAGAGAGAGAGAGAGAGAGTAGATAGTAGTGAGTGGCAGAGAGAGAGAGATAGTAGTGAGTGGCAGAGAGAGAGAGAGAGAGAGAGAGAGAGAGAGAGTGAGTGAGTGGCAGAGAGAGAGATAATAGTGAGTGAGATAGAGCGAGGGTCAGTGCATAAGAAAGAGAGTGAGTGAGAGAGAGGAGGGAGAGAGGGAGAGATAGTAGTGAGTGGCAGAGAGAGAGAGAGAGAGAGAGAGAGATAGTAGTGAGTGGCAGAGAGAGAGAGAGAGAGAGAGAGAGATAGTAGTGAGTGGCAGAGAGAGAAAAAGAGTGAGTGAGAGATAGAGCGAGGGTCAGTGCATAAGAAAGAGAGTGAGTGAGTGAGAGAGAGGAGGGAGAGAGAGAGAGATAGTAGTGAGTGGCAGAGAGAGAAAAAGAGTGAGTGAGAGATAGAGAGAGGGTCAGTGCATAAGAAAGAGAGTGAGAGAGTGAGTGAGTGAGTGAGTGAGAGGAGAGAGAGAGAGAGAAGAGAGAGAGAGAGAGAGAGTGAGAGGAGGGAGGGAGGGAGAGAGGGAGAGAGAGAGTGGGTGGGTGAGTGAAAGAGGGAGCGAGTGAGAGTGCTTTTCATAAGACAAGATAGCCGAATTAAGTGAAAATACAACTTTCAGTGTGCTTGGCGAGTAAAAAAACTGATTTTATTTACAGATATAATTTTGACATTGGGTCAAGGTTTGTAAAGATTACCAGGAACATGATCTAAAAACCATTTCAAATCGATACACTTTTCAATAGAATAAATTACATTTCAAAGCTTATTATATTATTTTCCTTGCGTATTTTTGAAACACATTAGGATAACGAACGAGTGTTTTGTTTTCATTCCTTAGTAGGGGTCCAAATTCGATTTATCTCGTATTAAATTGAAAACAAGACAAGAAATTGCAAGATAAACCTTCAACAATTACGAAGATAAAGCATACGCTCACGCAGGCATACACGGACGACAAGACGCACGCACTCACGCATTTGCGATGTGAGTGATAACAGTACAACTGATAACTTCCACTCCTCGATTTGATAAACGTTATCAGTCGTAATAAGTCAGCCGTTTGTGCGACTTCAGTTTGTTATATCACAAAATGGCTTCTTACCTTGGCCGAAGATTCAACTTTTTCAGGATTATTAACAACATCAACAAAAGGTATTGTTTGACTAATTTCCTGTTGCCTGATTTGGTTTGTGAAAGAAGAAAAAAAGCTGCGGACTTAGCATAAAAGTTAACCGGCCGCGTTTATCTCACGAATGACATTCCCGTTCCACAAAATGTAAACAAGTTGTGTCGTCAGTGTTTTCCTTATCTCAAAATTTCTTTTAATGCACGTCAATAGCATTTTGGATGTATTATAAATATACTTTTACTCTTCAACTACATTATTTTTGAATTGGACCTTTTGAGGAAATAAACTAGTCTAAACTGTTCATTGTGTTGTTTTTTAATAGTTATTTTTCAATTGTCTCGTTTGATTTTTATTTTATGACGGATTGTGATTGGCCAAATCTGCCTTATTTTGAACACGAAGTGGGTTGCACATCTTCAAAAGGATCGCACTTCTTCTGTCAAGTTCACTGTTTAAATTTAAATACAATTACAGTGAAACTTCCCTATAACAGACACTCTTGGGGAATGAGACCTTTCAATTGTCAAAATTTGCCTTATTTTGGACTCGAAGTGGTTTGCACACCTTCGTCTCAATCAAAGGATCGCACTTCCGTCAAGCTCACTGTTTAAATTTAAATTCAATTACAGTGAAACTTCCCCATAACGGACGCTATTGGGAATGATATATAAATCATGAATTGGCCAAATCTGCCTTATTTTGAAACCGATGTGGGCTGGACATCTTCTTCGGATCCCACTTCTTCTGTTAAGCTCACAATTACAGTGAAACTTCCCTATAACGTACACTCTTGGGGAATGAGACCTTGCAATTGACAAAATCTGCCTTATTTTGAGCCTGATGTGGGCTGCATATCTTCCTCTCAACGGATCCTATTTCTTCTGTCAAGCTCACTGTTTAAATTTAAATACAATTACAGTGAAACTTCCCCATAACAGACATTATTGGGAATGAGATATGAATCGTGAATTGGCCAAATCTGCCTTATATTGAAACCGATGTGGCTGTACATCTTCCCCTCAACGGATCCCACTCTTCTGTCAAGCTCACAATTTTAATTTAAATACAATTACAGTGAAACCTCCCTATAACGGACATTCTTGGGGAATGAGGTATGAATCGTGAATTGGAAAAATCTTATTTTGGTCCCGAAGTGGGTTGCACACCTTTGTCTCAATCAAGAATCGCACTTCTTCTGTCAAGCTGACTATTGAAAATTTAAATTCAATTACAGTGAAACTTCCGATGACAGACTCTTGGGGAATGAAATATTGTCTGTTATATAGAGCATATTATAATTATAATAATCATATTATAACTTTAAAAAAAAAAAACATGATTAAAAGGCAGTGTCAGTGGGCTGGATCGGCATAGAAGCTCTCCCGTATCAAGAGCAGTGTCGATAGGTGGCCCTCGGAGTGCCTAACTCATAGAAGAAGGATCATCCTCATCGAATTAAGAAAAGGTCGTGCGAGGTTGACATGTTTTTATTTTTGGGCCGCAGTTGTGTTTTGTATGTAGAGAAAGGTTGCTCAATGTGCCCCACTTAATTGAAGGGGCCATTCCTTGGCTCCTTATAGAAAGCGCGTAAGAGTGCCACCTGACATGACAATTGTGCTTAAGCACAGTCGCAAATATTTCCCTTATTCCGATCCTTGAAAGAAACGGGGATTTTTGTTGAATGTAATACTGATAGTTTTGTGTCCATAGTGTGTGGTAAAAAGTGAATATATTTATTAGCGTGAATATGTAGTGTGAGAAGACAGATTGCCCTATCAACCTTCAATTTGGTTGGTTACATTACCCTAGGTGAAAAGGGAGGAATATCAAGTACTCAGCCACCCTAACCGAGTGAATTGCTAGCAAATATGAATTTTAAATAAGAAAGAATATATTTAAAGGTGGCTCCAGATATGTGGGATTCGCCAAATGCCGAGCAAAGGTTCTCTGAATCCCGACTAGTCAGGTTATTCACCGAGTAACAATATTTGGTGCTCGCCTTGCTCGGCTAATTGTCAGTTTTCTCGTCTGTTTCAAAGTGCACGAATATTCATGAAGTATCAGAACTCAAAGCATCCACACATTTGGGGATCAACTGTACTGTACGGATATTAACTGTAACCATCAATCAACGTGGTTATTCATTTTTCAATAATGAATGATTCCTAAGTAGTATAGATGTATTAATGAAAGAACAACATAGCGTTGTTTCTATTAGGGATGGATTGGACCCAACATAACAGTCTTTGAATTCCTCGATCTGTACCAAGCTGAACCAATAATTTGGAACTCTTCTCTTCCAAATCATAAAAATTGGAACAAGGTTTTCAGTGCATTGAAATAGATCGAAAGTGAAATGGAGCAACAGTACTGTGACTGATTTGTGACTGTCACTACTTAAAACAGTAACTGCAGCTGCAGCAATTACAGTTTCACTGTTGTCGATCTTAATTGGTAGTAACTTGAGGACTCACAAGGTGCTTGTTCACTGTTTCATACAAACTGGGCTGGTTATACAAACCCCGCATGTGTGTATACATAGGCACACTATTTGGTGGCAATTGGCATTCGGTGAATACCGCATTTCCAGAGCCACCTTAAAAGTCAGTGAGAGTTGAATGGGTTTGAATTTGGAGACTGACTGCGTTGTGGACTGAAATGGATTAGCCATTACTAGCCCCTAGAGCCCAACCTCGGTGGCTGGGTGGATAAAACCAAGGTCTGACCCCATATTGCCAATGCTCAGAGTGGGTGATTCTCAAGGCCTGCCAGTAATTTCTTGTAAATTAAAAAAGCTGGAATTGCCAGGAAGTGGACTGCGAGAAGTGTTAGGCTCAATATGTATATGCATATATGTATGTACATACCCACATGAGATTATATGAGAATGTAAACAATGTAAAAATAAACTGAATGCACTTAGCAGACAAGAGACGAAAAATCAGTACAGGGTAGATGGTAGATGGTAGGGGAGGGCAGGGGCGATGAGTATGACATTCTCAATGAGACATAGATATTGAGGCTGAATGGTTTTTTAAAAAAAAGATTGTCGCAATTTCACAAAAGTTTGAGAGAGAGGCCAAATTGTGAAAAGAAGGGGGGTCGTTGATGATGAGGACTAAAAAGGAAAGATGTGGCAACTGGCAGATGTTCATTTACTACCAAGGTGTGTGCTACACATTGGTTATTTCAGCTCCACACAACTTGGTCTTAAAATGCAAAAAAAACCATGAGAATGAGACCATTCTTCATGAGGCATATAATAGCATATAATCCCAAACAAGATAACCCGTTATGAGTCCTGAAAATGTTAAATGAATTAATTTTGCATTGCTTTGACATTTGCTCAACCTTTTATAAATTAATGTAATAGATAGTTTATTCAGTTTTTCCATTTGTTACATTGTTGAAATTATATTTTAGTTATTTCTAATAAACCTGGTCTACTATCCTCACTACTTTTGCTCATCTAAAATACTTGAAATTACAGAAAATTAATGAGTTTTATCTTTTACACAGACCATTTTCCACATCTGGGGAACTTAAGGAAAATCGAGAAGGATGGTTCAGCAAGCTCCTAGTTCGAAGGATTGAACCCACAAAGGAGCCCCATTCCCGGATGCTCTCAGACAAAGATGTAATTTATGAACTACAAACACATAATATGAAGCCTGATTCAAGGGAAAAATATTTATCAAATTAGTAAGAATCACTTCCTAATGACAGTGTACGTTTATATTACAATAGGAGTAACATATGTGTGTACAAATTTTATCTGTTAATATATGCATACATTTTTGTTTAATTCGATCAGTATAGTTAATGTTGTTCCTATTTATTAAAACAGTATTTAATCAAGTGATCCAATCCATTTCTTAAATTTAATTTGGAACGTTTAACAGTGAGAAAACTGTGCAGCTTATTGAGAGTCGTAAAGAACTTCATAGCGAACTGGTTGGCTCATGGACGGTACAGGTTGGGGATATGGACCAGGTTCTTCATTTATGGAAGCACACCGGTGGATTTGCTGGTATCGATAATGCTAAGAAACTTCTTGCTAATGAAAAGGTAAATAACATATATTGTAAACCCTTGTATACTCCATTGTTTCCTTAAAAGACCTTTTGAGCAAAACCGACTGCTTAATAAGGAAAATCTAACTTAATAAATAATCTTTTTATCTAAGGTGTTGGTTAAGATGAAAAAGTTAGCGTCACGAGCAGGATTTGAATCTCAACAAAACACCTTAGATGAAAAGTATAATTAATTAAAATAATTAATACAGTCAATTGATGACTACTAAATATATGTGGATTACTACATTTCATGAAATTAATTATTCATGCTAAAATTTTTGTATTATTTTTGTTAGGACTTCCTTAAACTTCAAGAAGAAAGAGGAGGATACTTGCGCTCTAGACACTTACAGTATCTTTTGTCATTCAGCTACTGGCCTCCAATTGAAATGAGAAAAGGAAATAACATCTACGAGATAAGAAGTTACAGTTTGAAACCTGGTACTATGATAGAATGGGGAAACAACTGGGCCAGGGCTATAAACTATAGGCGTAACAACAAAGAAGCGTTTGCAGGCTTCTTTTCTCAAGTTGGAAGACTTTATAACGTGCACCATATTTGGTGTAAGACAACCTTTAAATATACTATTTTTATTTTAAAAAATTTAAGAATATTTTTTTGATATTAATCTTAGCTAACATATCAATGTGTAAGCGTTTGTGAAAATCTGCTTCAGTTTGAAAAATATATTTTATAGAACTTTATATACGTACATAGGAATGAGTTGGCAAAACATGGCGTGTAAGGAAGTTTCAAACAAATTCACCTAGAAAAATTTTTTTTGCAAAATTTTTTCATTTTGCCTAAAACTATCTGGGTTGCTCCTTCAAGTGGTGAATGATTCATCAAAACAATTTTTAGATTTCCCTTATGATCAGAGGAGTGATGAATCTATGTTTAAGCATTTCGCCATAACATTTATAATGAAAACAGCACAGCCAGGTCAAAAAAATCAGAAATGCTACAGAAACAATTATTCAACAGTAACATGGTATGCCTGCTCTACCAGGGAAAAAAACGAAGAATTTTGAATAAGTTTGTTTCAGAAGGGCTTTCTATCTTTTCAAAGCTTTATTCTTTACAACTACAATTTCTTCACAAGGTTTTGGACAAACACCTTGTTTTGATCAATAGGAAGAAAAAAAAGTTCAACAAGAGAACTGAACCAAAGAAAACTCCCAAAATGATAGAAATCAAGATGTTATAGTACCCTTTAGTCCTGACCTCGCTCCTTCAGACTACCACTTTTTCAGAGCAGTGACCCTCTTTATTAAGGGGAAAACATTAAATATAGAAAGTAAAAATGAAGTAATTCCTGCCATACAGGAGCACTTAACATCCAACTGCCTGTTGGGTGTCACAGAAGAGGGTCAAACCATTTTACTTTCCTTCTTTCATACAATTCTCAATTAAAAAACATTGGACTGTGCTGGGATTTAAATGTATGATCGCCAGTGTGGGGAATGCGAGTCAGACACCCTAACCACTATGCCACCACAGTCCCCTAACATTTAATATATTAGGAGACATATACTAAACATTTCATTACGTGAGATTTCTCTGTTTTGTCTGCAGGGTGATAAACTTGTAGTTTGGTCATTACCAATTATTATTCAGAAATTGTGAGATGTGGTCTGGTGTGATGTAGGTTTCAGAAAAACATTTTCTGAAACCTTCATCACACCAGACCACATCTCACAATTTCTGAATAATTATTATCAATTAACGGTCACTAATCACCACACATTACCGATTATTTTGGTCTGTCTATCCTCGCCCAGCATTTACATTTCATCATTTGTCACAATAAAATGTTCGGTAATGACCAAATTACAGAAATGATTCAGTCAAAATCCAAGAAGCGTTATCATTGAAGTGATACAGCTTGCGTGTAAATTACAATTAACCATGATGTATGATGGGTTATATTTCTAATTATTCTCCAGTCTTAACATAATTTATTGGATAAATAAAATCAATTTAATTTTACCTATAGAAGTGACAATTTTTTCTGTTTATCCACCATCATTGTAAAAGTAAATATTTTGTCTTTCGTATTTACTCACTCAAATAGCAATAATTATACTTTTTTTTTTTTTTCAATTTTGAGATTTCTCTTTGAACGATTTTTTCAGACAACTTCACTGAAGAACATCTAAAATTACACAGACCCATATTATTGTACATGATCAAACTACATCAATTTTACTATTAAAAAAAATATATATATACAGGGTGAATTGCTACTCGTGCTACAAACTTCTCCAGTAGATTCTTCACCCTAAAATGAACAAAAAAGTTCATATTGTCCATGGTCCGATTCTCAACCATTTCAGAGTAATTTCGCTTTTTATCGATTTTGAAAGATATCACGTCCTGGCGTCGGAAAATCGTGATATCTTTTAATCTAAACATTTCTCTGAAAATCTAATAGCACCGTTGAAATTCCCGTTAATTTTTCAATAAGAAGATGACGGTGGCAAAATGTTTGGGCTAATTTTTTGTGTTTTATTTCAGCCAGAACTACAAAAAGAGTGGAAAATTGTGTAAATCGGAAAGTGTATAAAGTAATCCAGAGTTTCTAATTTTAGTCTCAGAAGGCAGCAAATTTGAGGAAAACTACCTGATTTAATAACGCTTCCAACGCACTCGTCATTTTCTTATTTAGTGGTTGTGAGACCAAGATGTTGATGACAAAAAGAGAAAAAATGGTGGTTCAAGGATTGCTAATGTTTGAGAGTGACTTGCTACTCGTGCTACAAACTTCACCAGTAGATTCTTGACCCTAAAATGAACAAAAAAGTTCATATTGACCATGGTCCGATTCTCAACCATTTCAGAGTAATTTCGCTTTTTATCGATTTTGAAAGATATCACGTCCTGGCGTCGGAAAATCGTGATATCTTTTAATCTAAACATTTCTCTTAAAATCTATAAGCACCGTTGAAATCCCCGTTAATTTTTAGAGAGAATCAAAATCATAATTCCATTGAAATTTTTTAATTTAATTTAATGCCCATTTAGTATGTAATGCTTAAGAAGTTTACAAACAGCTAGAAGGTCAAGGAAGAAAGACCCAAACGTTTTGCCACCTTCATCTTCTTATTGAAAAATTAACGGGGATTTCAACGGTGCTTATAGATTTTAAGAGAAATGTTTAGATTAAAAGATATCACGATTTTCCGACGCCAGGACGTGATATCTTTCAAAATCGATAAAAAGCGAAATTACTCTGAAATGGTTGAGAATCGGACCATGGTCAATATGAACTTTTTTGTTCATTTTAGGGTGAAGAATCTACTGGAGAAGTTTGTAGCACGAGTAGCAATTCACCCTGTATATGTAGAGACTAGGTTTCATTGTTTTGTAAATCAAACTTTTTGTAGTATAATTGTAAGTATAATTTGAACTGAACTGAAAGCGGTAAATATACAACTAACTTATTAGATGCAGAAAGATTGATTATAAAACCAACAGTTAAATTATTTTTAATGATTAAAATTCAACAAATAAAATAACTCTCATGGTTGTGGAAATTTTTTCTTGTATCTACGGAGTGATAACATGTATTGAATCAGAAATTTCCAAACTACTTACTCTTTACTTTATTGGAAATTTTAAATACTAAAATCAAACTACATATTTAAATGTCCGCTATAGAGAACATCCTTGTCAAAATATGCTTTCTAGCAAAGAAATCTGGGAAAGTAAACTAATAAGAATAATTAATTGGTTATTAAAATTAACTAACTCAGTTTTATTTTCTAAGCTGTGCATTTAAATTATATTCCAGGCTATAAAGATCTTCATACCAGAAAGGAGACACGAGAAAGCGCATGGAGGCTTCCAGGCTGGGACGAGTGTGTGGCATATACAGTCCCATTGATTAGAGAAATGCATTCCAGAATTCTTCATCCAACATCTTTTTCTCGTACTCAATAAGACTCTAAAATGCATATTATAAAAAATTTGAGTTCATTTGTGATGAAATAATTTTTATATTTTTAATAATTCATTTTTATATCAAAACATGAAAAATTAAAAAAAAAAAAATAGAATTTCAAACTGTAGTCATTTAAAATTTTGTTGCAATAATTAGTATTGGGGGTGTTATACCAATAACTTGGCATTGATTGTTGTTAGTAAAAAGTTGTTATGTACTATTTAAATTGAACAAAGAGAAAAATTGAAAAAATAGGTCTTAGTAATAAAAAATTATATGTAATTATAATACAAAGCTTTTTTTCACAAACTATAACCATTTAATAAAAATACCATACATTCAAGCTCATGTTCACTAAGATGCATATGAATATTTTTTTACATATTTAAACTTGTAGTTTTATCACAGAATATCTTTGTTTTAAATTACCTCAAATTTATTCAAGCTGGCCAAATTAAGTATAGTATATTATATAAGTTATTTTTAACACAAGTTTCATTATTATATACAATACAAGAAAATACAATTGGTTTGTAACTTGTGCAATATAATTACATAAGAAATTAATCTGGTATAATTTAGGTGGGATTTTGATTTTGATGCTGGCAATAGGAACATCAACATTGACAAGTGCCATAAATTATTTGTGATGTATTTCTATAATAAATACTTGAAATGATAAATATATAGTTTTCGATTAAAGGCTACATGTCAATAATAAAAAAATGCTTAAAATAGTAACTTCAAATCACACAAAAAAAATTTTTCATAAATTCATTTTAAGAACATGCAGATAATGTAAATTATGTAAAAAAAACTAGTTTAAAAAAATAGTGATAAAAAGGAATCTTTATGTTTATGTGTTATGAGTTTATGGTATAAAATATGGTAGATGAGCATCAGTTCTAATAGGGATCATTTGTTAATGCATGAAGCAAATGGTATATGTTTTAATGAACTCTTACAAAACTTATAATTGTTTAATAACAGGCTTATACCATAGTAAAAACAGTATAAAATAAAAATCAAATCATATGCTGAAATTTTTTAAATTATACAAATTGTACAAATATAGTATACAAAGGTGTTATTTTATTATGGTTAGGGTTGCAGTTGATGTATTTCTTCCAACATATTTGTTTTGTTTGTATTTTACGTTAAACAAAATAGTCAACTGTTTTCGGTAATTTTGTTCAATTGTTGTATGTGTATATTTTATATAGACAAACCACACAAATAATAATAATAATAATTTGTAAATAAGTCAAAATCATATTAATTGTTGGTGTTATATATACATATATATGATGTGTGATTTTTCATATATTCATAAAATGGGTTTCATTGTACGCATTTTATTACTTGCCACACTTTCCTTTTAAGTTAGTATCGCTACAGAAATCAATTTAAAGACCAGGTGAAGTAATGTATTGTTAAGCGAGGTGATGATTATTCTTGCTGGCAAAAAATGGTGAAATGCTGAATTGTGTATGCCAAACAAAAAAAGGTGATAACTGGTAAACGAGGATGATTAAGATACGAGCATATCTGACGGGAGGTACTTTGATAAAGAAAATGCTATCTGCTAAGTTATGAACCTGTCATTCAGTGGTTTTTGATCTTCAGGTGTATTTAAACCCACAGTTTTGCTTTTATTATATCGATTTTTTTAAAACATTTTATAAGACAATATTTTGAGGTCTTATGTACTCTAAACGTTGCTGGTAATACATTTCAAAATGACTTTATGTCTCTTCATGAGGGGTTGTGAGGTGAAAAAGTTATTTTTGTACACGTCTAGCATCTCAGAGGGTTGAAGGGAACTACTGTTATGACATAAAAGGCTTTTTACCTCACTGGTACTGCAGGTACGCAACACCGGCGGTACTGCAGGTGCGCAACACCGGCGGTACTGCAGGTGTGCAATACTGGTAGTAGGTGTGCCATGTCCATATGAGGGTTACCTTTTGTGGGACTAGTGATGAATTATCTCGTTCAGGCTTACTTTTTTTTGCATTTTAAGAGCTCTAGCTCATGAGGTTTTATCAAATCCATAGCAGACACCTCCCACACCCTACCTTTCCAGTCAACTTGGAAATTGTGACACAATCTTTTTTCCAGAAAACATTTGTTCATAATATCTATGTCTCATTAGGAACGTACACTTTCGCCTACTTCTCGTCCATGTCTATTGTCCTTCTGAGTTTTCACCTCTGTTCTGCCAAGTGCCCTCAATTTTACTTTTACATTGTTTATGCTCACAGTAATTTTGCGTACATATTTTTGTTCTTGTCCTTATTATACATGGAGTTGGGCAAAATTGATAAAAAACTAATTTTTGGCAAAATTGATTTTTAAAATAGTTTTTGGAGATTTAAATCATTTTATTTCAGATTATATTATTTTTTAAATATTTGCTAAGTAAATTGCTATTTTTTCCTTTTTTTTTAATTGTAAAATGGCCACTCCAGGAGATAACACAAAATTGAAAAATATGTCCAGATATCCACCCAAGATCATCAAAACTTTACATTTCTTGTTTTTTGGAATAAATGTAAACCCAGGAATCAGAGGAAAACACTTTCAGGTTTCATTTTTCAAGGCAATGTAAAAAAAGAGACCTGTTGCAATATTTTTATTTTGCTATTTTTCAAAATGAATAGGCCAATGGTGAATTAAATACTACAAAAAAACATTTAAATGAAAATTAAAACAAAAATAATGTTAATTTATGGTTTTAAACTGAGAGTTAATCTACTTTTAAGTCTCTTGAACTATTACGAAAGTGAACTGTCTGCTACAAATGGCTGATTCATTAATTTAAATGAGCTGTTCGACAAATTTCCTTCTGCGCTAATACAATAACCCAGCCGATCATAAAATGGCCCCTGCACTTTGTAAATTTGAATGGGAGTTACTGTTTCACATGTATTTGTATAGCAACTTGTAGATGGTCCACATTTTCAAAACCTTCAGGAGTATTATAAATGAAACTAGTTAAAGCCGAGAGTGAGAGAGAGTGGAAAGGGAGAAAGAGAGAGGAACAGTATTATGTGCTGTTGTGATGAAAAATGAAACACACGGTATACCGAATACAGAAGAAATTGAAAAGAAGTCACTATCTGCCATGTTCTTAAGTTTCTGGTTGATGCATTGTGCATGTCACAGGATGGTCCAACAAAAAGTCGAAAATGTGATCATTCCATGGAAGATGACACAAAAGCAACGTATCAACCAACAGTTTTTGTAATAAAAAATATTTATTTTAATTTTAATTAATTTAAAAAAATACATTGGAATTCTTTGATTTGGACTGGGACCATTACATGAATCGCCCAGTCAACACCTTAACCAGTGCGGCTACTATGGCCCCATAGTGTTTATAATTTGTGCTTTTTTTTGCACATTTACCACCTCACTGAATTTGAAAAACCCTACACCAGCAGCCACACCAATTTACTAAAATTTTATTGTTAAAACAAAAGGAGTAATAAACTTATCTATATTACTTCCCTAAAGAAGAGAGAAAGTCAGGATTGATGCTAATTGTGCATGTGATGATATGTTGTATATACAATAAATTCAATCAAGTATAATAGATATATACGTAATTACATATCAAACTAAGTAGACAACAATAGGTAAATAAATAACTGCTAGCAATACTATTCGCATGTTTGCACACAAAAATTTATAATCCCTGAAACCATTTTTGTTTGTAAATTCATTCAAGTAAGGTAGCCAGTTTTTTGGGAAACGAGGTGAGAGTTTTCCTTCTTTTCATTGACGACATTATACGAAAATTCTGCAAGCTACATCACCTTCACTCAGCACATAGAACATAACTGGCTGTTTGCTCTTTTTATACTTAAAAAGCATGCTTCGAAATTTCCGTAGCCCGTTAGCATTTGCAACATGTAGTAAACAGGAAGCAACCATTTAGCTTTAGCCCTCTCTTCAAATTTAGGGAGGAATTTGAAAGACGGCCTACCCTTTTGCTGCTTTCCCATCTTGCGTCCATCCACTTTTTCATAATCTGCAAACATTTTAGCATTTATAAGCCAGTCCAGTTCATGATCCTCGTCCTGGCAAATTCAGTTGTTTCCCGTTTGTCGTATTATTTGCCTAAGAGTTACCATGCTTTGAAAGACGATCGTCTTGCAATGCGGACAATGAAATTTTGTTTATACTATAATTTGTTTAAGTAGTGAGGAGCGGTCTGAAATGAAATATTTTAGAAAAACACTTTTTTCATTTTTCCCCCCAACATTTAGACTTATTTTAGTCATCTTCTGGGCATGAAGCATGGTGCTATTCTTGTGTTGTGTTTGTTTCGAGTGAAATGTTCGTGTTTTTCTAAAATATACTTCATTCCTGACCGCTCCTCACTACTTAAACAAATTATTGAACAACTGGTTGGCGGTCGCTAAATAGCACACTTGTTTATACAATGTAATTTATGCTATAATCATCATTCTAGCATTTTACTGTCTATACAACCAATGTTTATGTTGAGTAGAAAACGTACTATGACAAACGTTTCATTTTTAATTTACTTAAAGTACCAACTTTTGACTTAAGCCCCTAGGCCCAATTGTTTCATTAAAATGATAGTTTTATACCATCGTTTATCAGTTATAATATGACACTCTCCCTTGAAATTCCGTCAAAAATGAATGTTAAAACTTCACAGACAATAAAAAAGCAAAGAATCTTTTTTTTATTTGTATATATCAGCAAGGAAAAAGTAAAGCTAAGTAATTCCATTCTTCCAGGAGGGCTTAACGTTCCACTATGTTGGGTGTAGCAAATGAGGTCAAATCACTTTACAATAAATTTTTCATGCTATTTTCGACTAAAAAACCATGAACTATACCATGATTCGATCCCAGGGCCAGCTAGTGTGGCAAACGCGAGTCAGACACCCTAACCACTAGACCACCGTGTTCCCCTAGGTATATTATGACTAGGTAAAAAATAAAAATAAAAGAAAGCAAAAGTTGAAGTATTTAGAAAGAAAGAAAAATTGAATAAAAACATTTTAAGACACTTCTGTTTTTTAATTAACATAACAAGATCTGTGACCCGTATTGTATTATTGCAATCACATTCACTTAACATTCATACACAGACTCATACTGACAAGATACTTTTAAGGAGGAATTAATATCGTATATAACATATGCAAGCATGTAAAAATTACATACAAGAAAAAAATTTCAAAGTTGAGAAAGAAATGTAAAAATCAATTTTGGTTCTAAAGAAATTCTGTCCTTTATATATTAATATATTTTTCTTTGTGGACAGATCTGATTTAATTCTATATTTATATATGCAAATATATATGTATTTATTTCAACAGAATTTATTTTAATATGAACATCAAACATAAGTACATTGATTTGACAAAATTATTACTTTATTTAGTTTAGTATTTATAAATGTTTAAATAATTTTATTGTTATTCTTTAAAGCAAGCACATTCAGAATATTTGAAATCTAACTTAAAAGCTATCATGGAATGCATCAAAACAAAACTCCATGAACATCAAATTATAAGACAATCAATGATGACAACAACAAATTATACTGTAAGAAACGTTAAATAAAACGATCTGCGGCACTTCAATCTAGGGCAGCCAGATCAATAGTTACAAATATAAAAAATTTGATAAAAACAACCAATCTTACGATACTGGCGCAACGCCTTAAGTAGAATGAAATGCTTACTTTTAAAACATTTCAAATAAAATAAATAAAATCAAGACCAATTTCACAATGATTCAACACAACTATAAATTTCTAATGACAAATGTGCACAAAACAGACAAAAAAAATTGTATTTGTACTAATTAAATGCCAAAGGATGAATCCACACAGAAAATGTCTCTACTGTATTGTAAAATAAACACATGTACTGTATCTATTACATAAAATATTATCTTACATTATAAGCTGATTTTTTTTTTTTTTTAAAGCTAATCACTGACTACGCAGCGTCTTTCACAGGTAGGTTATGATGTTACAACAAATAGTTCAAACACACAATTGAAGCTAATCTTTTTTTTTCTTTTTTAAATATAGTTTCAGAGAATGAAGTCATAGGTAAAGCCTCAGATATCTTAAAAAAGTGCATATTAACGTAAGGTCCCAATGATTCCATTTTAATAATAATTTTATAAATGATTTAAATTGTGTTGATTTCACATAAATACTCGTTTGGAACTAAAATAAGAAATTAACCAGCTATTTGAAGCACAAACAATATTTTATCGAATAACGTTTATAGTGAATGGGACTATCCACCGACTTTACCCACCAATCAGTTGTACAACAAATTTGACTACATGCTATACTAATTAATTTAACCCATTGTTTAAAATAGTGAAATGTTATTACTACAAATGATCTAGATTATAATCAATATGCAACAATTATCTTTAGTCATTTTCTATTGCAACAATTTTGTTTATTGCCTTTAGAGAATAGGACAACTGCAGTTTCAAACCAACACCATGTAAATTTTTCCAAAAATATAAAAATCAAAAAAAAATATTAACGCTACTTACAACTGACAAGCTGAAATCATAATTAATCATATAAAATTGAAAGTAAGAAAGGAATGATAGGCATAGACAAAAACTCATTTATGACTATTAATTGAACGCAAAAAATCGATTCATAAAGCTGATGCAAAACAAAGCAAACAATTTGATTTCATTTTCTAACAAAAATTGTAAAATAATAATTTAACTACACAGTAACAATGATCAGAAGTGGATGAAAATTTACAAGTCTGGTTTGTTGACTGTAACCTACACAATGGCCAACCGCTTCAAGATGAAATGTCTCCATCCTTGCCACGTTTAACACTCCACACATCACTTTCTGTCCTTTCTTATTTAAATTAACTTCCCAATGGTTTCTCACTAAGTTATGGCACATCTTGATCATCAACATCCTGCAACTGTTGGTCTTTTTGTTCACTATTACCTAAAGACAAGAAGAATAACATATTAGAGATCAATAAATTACAATAAAATGTCTTAAAAGAACCACCTTAGCTATAATAAGGAAGGGGACAAATGTAGAAAAACAAAATATTATTTTTACGTATTATCATATAAAAACCACAAACCTTGCATATCAGATGTCCAAAGAGTTAAATTATCCCTGAGAAGTTGCATAATTAAGGTAGAGTCTTTGTAGCTTTCCTCGGATAGAGTATCTAGTTCGGCTATGGCATCATCAAATGCTGCCTTAGCCAGCCTACAAGCTCTGTCAGGAGAGTTGAGTATCTCGTAATAGAATACTGAAAAGTTGAGTGCCAATCCAAGCCTAATAAAGAAATTATGCTATTAATATAATTAATCTATTTATTGCTACAAGTCTGGACCAGGAGTTCAGGACCAGGAAAGTATGCATGGAATCACAGGAAGGCGGCCGAGGAAATGTCTCTGTACTTATTTCAAATGTAACTAGAACTTTTTATTTAAATTCACCTACCATGGTCAAAGAACAGGAGTAAAAATAAAAATCAACCTTTCTCTGCAAATTCCAACAAATTATTATTTTTTATTGAAATGATTTTGAATTCCAAACGAAACACAAACTTGCCATGGGTGACGGTGGGAATAGAACCCATGACAACAGGGTCTATGAGCCAAAAGTCAATCATGATAACGGCTCAGCTACCACAGTCCCCCCCTCCAAAAAAAACAGTTGAAGTTCGAATTCTATCCAGGCATTTTCTCTTCTCCTGACTTTTCTCGCCATTTTTTTCCCCGCCCAAATCATCATATAAGTTTACTAACATTTTGTTGTTTATGTTTGTTGTTATTATATTATAATAACTTAATTTCTTGCTATGATACTATTCCCTCTCAACCAAGTAAACTCCCTACAAAAGCTACAAAATCGGCCTTTTTCAGACCAATTGACAACAAAAAGAGTTTTCCTAAAATAATTTAATGTTATTTTTATTTTGTGTATAATTTGAATAATGTATGTAAATTTTTAATAATTAAAAAATCATTTTAAATCTTTGAATAATTTATATAAATATTAATTTTATATTATTTTAACAACAATAATAAGAGTGGCGTCAGTGTCCACAACAGTTTATGTGTTGACGTGGTGCTCATGTGGTGCTGTATGGTAAAGGTCCCGGGTTCGAATCCAGAACAACAGATTCGAACCCGACAATACTTCCAAGTGGGCTTTCAAAAACACCAACTACTCAAGGGTTGATATATGATCCTGCCGTTAAACCCTCGTATTATTTTTTTAATTTACTTTTAATTATATTGAAAACTTAAATTCTTCAATAATACTGATTTAATATTTTGTAATAAAGTTTACTAAAAATGTATAATAAATTAGATAAAAATATATTTTCAATTTTTATTTATTACTCCTGGATGTTAATTTCCTTTTTTTTTTTTTTTTTTTTTTTTTTGAACAAGAATGATTGCCAGAAGACTGAAAAGTATATAAAACAACGCTGAGTGCACATAAATAAGGTGACCTGATTGTCACCATGGTAGCGTAATGAAATAATTTCATACAGTATCAAAACTTTCTTGGACCCAAAGTAGGTTTTTTACAGAAAAAAGTGGGAAAAAATTGTATGGACTTGAGCCTTAAAAAGAGTTTCGAAAAATGTTAAGTGAGTGAATAATTTCCTTGAATAATATTTTAAACTTTTCAATGGGATAAGAATAAGGTCAGGACCAAAGCCGAAACATTGACTAGTCATTTTATTCCTGGTCCTGACTATTGTAATACTTAATGTTACCACCTAATGGGATGCGTTGGAGGCAGATCTGTCATAGCGATATCACTAGCCGCTTTATACGCAACCAAAGAGCTCTCTGCTGCTTCTTTACGGTCGTTGCCGGTAGCGAATTCTGCTAAATATCTATGGTAATCCCCCTTCCTAATAACAAACAAAAAAATGTTTTAAAATATTAACAGTTATTGGCGGCAACATGGAAATACTTGAGCTCTAAATAATAGTGACAACTAGTCACGATTGACAACTATACTGTCACAAGCACACTTACATCTTGTAATAAAACACTTTAGATTCACCAGTTGATGCACACGGAATAAGATGGTTTTCCAGAACACCCAGAATATCCGAACATATTTCCCTTAACTCTTTTTCGACCTAAGAATAGAATCAAATTATTTTTAAATGTACGTGTTGCACATATAAAAATATGGATTACACAAGAAGTTTGAATTGAAAACCATTTTAATATTAAAAAAAATTCCATTACCTGTGTCCTGTACTGTCGAATCATTTCCAGTTTTTCATCAGCTCCTTTATTTTCCTCTTTTTGTTCAATACTACTTATAATCCTCCAACTTGCACGGCGTGCTCCTATCACATTTTTGTAAGCTACAGAGAGAAGATTTCTTTCTTCTACTGTTAACTCAAGGTCCAAAGAAGCCACAAGTTTCATGGCCTCCACCATTTCTAAAAATCAATAGTACTAATGAATAACTCATAAACAATAGTTAAAAACTGAATCAATTAAAAATATTACATGTACAAAGCTAATATAAACAATGAGTAAAAAATCACATTCTCATCGAGCCGTAAGTTAAACTAAATAATTATAAATTAACTATTTCTATAGATCCAATGTCAAGATTAAATAAAACCAGCCTGATGGTGCGGTGTAAAAGGTTTGAAATCCTCAAGAAGAGATGGAATTTCGATTCTTATCCACAAAAGGTAACCCAATAACTATTTCCATAACACGGTATGAAAATCCTTTGGTTTAATGTTTCTTTTTTTTATCATTTCTATCTCATACCGAAATATAATTAATGTGAGGCTTATATGGTATTTGTGTTTGACCTTTTTTTCCCACCTCAAAAAATTAACATTTAACATTTGACAGAAATCAATGTCTGACCACCAACAAAAAATTATACACAGTCGGCTTTTGTTAATCTTGATAATACGAACTTCTCAGCAGGTCACTGGTAAATTGAAAAAAAAAATTGTGTATTCTGATACACTTGGTAATATGAAATGTTTTTTATGACGGGGAGAGAGAGAGCATAATATAAATCAAAATGGAGCCACATCCCCTTTTTATAATTCGAACTTGTTCATTGTAATCTTCTCTAATTTTCAAAGTATTATTTACTTCCTTGCACCCAAAGTTTCTTCGAATTTTTTCTAGTTTGTTGTTTGGCGGTCATTGTTTTGTCAATGTGTTCTCAGCACTGGTCTTTTTTTTTTCTGCCCATCTGTAAGTATGCCGGGTTCGAATGCAAGGCCGCTGGATCATTCAACCCTGGGACCTTTAGCTTACAGTGATACGCACCATGTCAACGCCTAAACTGTTGCAGCCACTGATGCCCCCGGAAAAACATTTAGACGAAGGATGCCAGGCCCCAATAAAACAAAAACCGCTTTATAATTTTTGTTAATAATGCATAATAATGTTCCATTTTACAGTTGATCTATTTCCACTTTTTCATTATTTTTACGATATGTCGCACACCAACGAAAAAAGTGACAAGTCGAAAAATTATAAAAACTGGATTCTTTAGTTTTTTTAAGTATTCTAGTGTCTGACGCTACAGGAAAAATGACACAACTGTAGGTAGACTCTTAGATGCTAGGCAGCACTATATGTCACTTTTGAATTAGCGGGAATGTACTGTAACCATTCATAAAAAGTGGCATATCTCATTTCTGTGTCGAGCTTTAAAGCATCAATGTGAGTATTTATCAGGAAAAGTGGTGCATTTCGAGTTGTTTTCTTGTCTAGTGAAGGATTTTATGCTCTGCCGGAGACACATTTTCACATTATGAAAAACAATTGTATAAATATCTTTCGTAATGTGAAATTAATATAAATGTAGGCCCTGATCTTCAGGTCGAAATCTTGGCAGTTACAACTGAATTGGCTTTTTTCTTCAAGACCATACCTTGATCTAGAGTGTTCATGAAATATTAATTTCATTTCTTTTATTTTAATAATGTTCTTAATTATAATATTGTTTTTTCATAATTTTTTAACTTGTAATAATTTTTTAAAGTTGTCTTTTAACTTTTACATTATTTTATCAACAATTTTTTAATATTTTAATTACAATGTTTTTAATAATCAATAAAACCTGCAATTTCAATAATTAATTTTGTATTTTGAATAACTTATTACCCCGATTCCAGAGGACATGTTAATGTTAATTTGAGGCAAAAATAATCTTATTACAACTTACTACATGGATATTTATGCCTGTTTGTTAGGTTTGTATGTAACTGTTACTATCACAAAGAAATTAATACCCTTACAATCATTCATTGACCATCATTATCGTTAAGCAAACAAACTAATTTAAATTATTGAGAGCCAATATATGCAAGAAAAGTGTCACAATGCAAAAAGGGGTAGTTTTTTAGGGGAAGTACAGCTGGATTTTTAAAGTTTTGTATTTTCACTTGTCTTGGAGAAACGAAAGACAATATTGATGGATCATGACAGTTTTTATTGCCAACGACCGTAATGGTGTGTACTTAATACATAAGTCAAAAAAAGTCAACTACCATTTCTCTCCTACCAAATTTTCTTTTGTTGAGTTGTGTCACTTTTCTTGTCAGTGTGCGATATGTCTATAGTAGTAGTATATATGTACAATTTAAGTAAGAACTTTTAAAACTCTTAATAAGTTGATTTTTTCTCTCCTATTGATAATTCAAATTATTTTTATGGGCCCTTGGGTTTGAAATTATCAAGTCGACTGTACTATGTACACTGCTCATAGCTGGAAATTTCAAGCTTCAATAGAGATAAATAAGAGAGTTAAAAACTATAATTTTAGTGGTATATTTCTTAAAGTTACTCGATGTAATCAAAGGCTCGGTTAATGTGTTTGGAAATCAGACAGGAGGAAAATTTCATGTCATACAAATTGTTGGACCAAAGGCACAAAATATCGGGTTGTCCGGAAAATAATGCAGGATTTTAAGTTTTCATTAAAAAAAATCTATATAAAATATTCTGTTTACGTTTACAGGATTACTCATTTGTATGAATGTCAACACTTATTAATCCTCTTCCAAATGATATTGTTTGTTTACCTCTGTAGCATTCCGCTACTTGGAAATAATTCAGTCATCCTTATAATGTCAAAGCGAGAATTTCGTACGATTTTCTTTTACGAGTTTAAACTCGGCCGAAGCGGAGCCCAAACGGCTAGAAACATTAACCAAGTCTGGGGCGAGGGTTGTGTTAATGAGTGCACTGTGCAAAGGTGGTTTAAAAAATTTCGGGAGGGAGATTTCAGCCTTGAAGATGAAGAAGGTCGTGGAAGGCCTTCCTCTCTTAATGATGATGTTCTGCGATCAGTGGTGGAAGAAAACCCCAAAACAACTGTTCGAGAACTTGCAGAGCAACTCAAAGTCAGTAAAACGACCGTCGCTGACCACCTCAAGGCGATTGGAAAAGTGAAAAAACTCGAAAATTGGGTTCCACACTCATTAAACGATCGCCAAAAAAATCAGCGCTTTGATGTTTGTGCATCACTTCTTTGTCGAAACAAAAATGACCCATTTCTGGCCAGAATTGTTACATGTGACGAAAAGTGGATTCTGGACAGTGGCTCGACAAAGGAGAAGCTCCAATACATTTTCCAAAGCCCCCAACTCATCAAAAAAAGGTAATGGTTACGGTATGGTGGGCTTCATTTGGTTTAATACACTACAGCTTCTTAAATCCTGGCGAAACCATCAATGCTGAATCATACTGTAACCAAATTAATACCATGCATCAGAAATTGGCAGTAATGAAGCCCTCTTTGGTCAATCGGAAAGGGCCCATTTTGTTGCATGACAACGCTCGACCACATGTGTCACGTGTAACGTCACAAAAATTATTGGAGCTTGGCTATGAAACTTTGCCTCACCCACCCTACTCTCCGGACCTCTCGCCTACTGACTACCATTTTTTTAGACACCTGGACCACTACTTACAACACATAATATTCAAAAATCAAACGGAACTGGAAAATGCATTTATTGACTTTATCAATTCTAAAAATTCTGAATTCTACTCAGACGGAATTAATAAGTTACCAACACGTTGGGAGAAATGTATTGAGAGTATGGGAAATTATTTTGATTAAAGAACATTGCTTTAAAGTAACTAGTTTCTTTTTTTTTGTTTAATACCAAAATCCTGCATTATTTTCCGGACAACCCAATACTTCCATGGGGGAAAAAGTAAAACATGCCTTGTGGATTCTTCAGTCATCTTTTATTGCTAGGGCACTGGAAGACATTAGCCTTTTGCATCAATTTTGTGATTTTAACATGGAATTACTATGAACAAATTCCTGAATTTTGTCAAGGACATTGATTTTAAAACATTTTGTTTCCAACTACAGAAACAAATACAATTTCAAAGGCCATATCAACAAGCACAAAGTTACATTTTAACAAGTCAAAATTATAAAATAAGATCCAGTTGATACTGAATTTCAATACTATACCATTATTTTCTAAACAACTTTCATACCTACAACTTTTCTTCGATCAGTCACACATTCCTTTTCTTGTCAATTGTTTTTATTTTAAGAAAAAGAAATATTCAAAAAATGTCTTCAATATGATTTAGTCACACGTCACTACCATCTTTAATTGGAATCTGCATTTATAATTCACATAAGTGATTATAAATATTCATATTTTACTATATTCTTGATTTCTACTCTTGTAAGTATAATTTTTACAGGAAACAATTTGTTTGAGAAAGTATGTATATGTAACACTTTGATTTTTTTTTATGCATCAACCTTAATAGCAAGTTGATAAAGATACCTTTTCAAAATTTATCTTTCATGAACTTACATATGATTTTCCTTAGCCACTGTGTGTAGAGGTCATTGATTCCAGGAAAAAATTACTTTCATCAAATCAAGTTAGAAACACGAGTCATTAAGAGAAAAAAAATCAAACTTTTGAGTATGCATTTTTAAAAATCAGATAGGGATGGAAATTACATGTCTAAGCATCTATTGCACAAAAGACATTATTAATAAGGAAAATAAAACATACCTTTACAGTTTTTGAGTATTTTTTTATAGCTAACATGGGAAAACTTTAGGGGTTTTTTTTGTTGAGCAACTATGAAAAGAAACTTTTGCTAATACCAGCTTCTTAAATAACTAACAGAAGGGGGCATTGGTGGCTGCAATATTTTAAGCGTTGACATGGCGCTCATTGTAAGGTAAAAGTCCCGGGTTCGAATCCAGCGGCCCTGCATTCCAACATGACATACTTACAAATGGGCTTTTTTCAAAAACACCAACACCAGAGTTGATGCGACCTCTGATGTTGCAAGCCCTCATTAAAACAAAGTCGTTGAGATCATCGACATCAGTCTTTTTTTTAATATATAGCGTTTTAAAGTATAGCAACAAGTTTTCTGCATTGAGCAACGATGGAGAAATTTTTAACTTTTACCAATACCGTCAAGTTTCTTAGATAAACAACAGTGACCAATATTTAAGGACAAATCGTCAAATAAATTCAAGTATTAAGCGTTATTATAACTGATGGTGATGAATTTGTAAAGTTTTAAACTTGACAAATTTAAAAAAAAATAAATAAAAAAATACGAGCTCACACAAAATGATCAGTAATGACCTAATTACAGGTACATCACCCTGTGGACCACACAAGGAAATCTCCCATTCAACCTTAAAGGTTAGGAGGGTGGGTGTGTGTTAGCATTATCTTTATGTGTCAGTGTCTTTGGTGGATTGAATCTGGGTTTTTTTATCCGGTCAGTCTTTGTGATCATCAGTCTGTTGGGTTAAGCTGGAGTAGATCAGAGTAGAAATAGTGGAAAAATAGTTTAGGGATCTTTGTGAATAGTTTTTGTTGGTGAGACTTTAGAGGAAGCATCGGAGGACTTTGGATATTGGAGGATTTGGACAATGGGTACTTTGTAAGAGGTTAGTTTGTTGTGTATGCTTAGTGTAGATTTTAACCCAAGTAGGCGTTTGAGATGTCCGTATTGAGTTGTCTTTTTAGTCTAGTTTGTGAATTCAATATGGAGTCTGCTATAGTTGAAGGTAGCGGATTTGCTGGATGACGGAATTATTTTGTTTTTTATGTGCATTTGTGGGCCGGTCTGGTGTCTTAGCACAGAGTGCACCAGTAAGTAATCGTTATGAGGTGACGTATGCGTAGGTTGTGATTTGTGTAGTTTGTCAGCAATGTAGAATAAGTAGAACTGAATACGATGATGAATATGGAGACTAAGAATTGGGGGGGGGGGGTATGTTCTCCACGCACTACAGCCTTCTGACGTATTTTCCTTGTACCTCAGTTCAGTTCAATCGAATAAACTTTTGCTGATAGCATTAAATTCCTTAAAACAACCAACAGGAATCAATATTTCTACGTCCAAATCGTCAATTAAGCAAAGCTACACTGAAACTTGATAAAAATTACAGTAGTTGATATGGAATTTCTCTATCATGTGTGTTCTATTTACAAAACAAGGTATGACACATTCTTTGATAAATCCTACGTTCTTTTTTTGCCAATTGTTACATTTTAAGGGAAAGAAATACTGAAAAGATTTCTTGAGTATCATCACAATCTTAAATGGGAATCAACAATTTTGCAACTATAATTTATTAAGTGATTATAAATATTAATGTTATATGATAGCTTGAAACTTCGTTTGGCCGCCAGCTACACTTGTAAATATGATTTTATAGAGAACTGTTACGAAAATACATGTGTCGGTAAGGATGTAGTAATTGACCAGGAGTAAGTATAATGTCAGGGATTTCGTTCAATGAATACAACTTTTATACATTTGGAAAGCTTTTGACGCATATACACTGATGGGAAAATTTAACACACCACTAAATTTATTTAGTTTAAAAGATAACCATTATCTTTCTACACTAGTCACAGGTAATAAGGAGGTATCGTAGACAAAATAAACGGTAAATAATGCTTTGTTATAATTGTATGTAATTATGCCCTTTCATTCTGCTACACCTAAAGATCGCTTTCAGTTAGTCTTTTTCCTTCATTGATTTCATTTGATATTATTCTTATAATAATAAATGATATAATTATAAAGTAAACCTTTTTCAATAGTTCCCATCAGACATATGAGTCACTATGACAGTGTCAGGGTCTAAACATTATTAGAAAAAGGATACAGCCAGCACGAAATCGCCAGGAGACTGAGTGTACATCACTCTACAATAGGAAGTTTTTTTCAGCGCTTCAAAGAAACAGGGTTTCACACTTGAAGGCCAGGACAGAATCGACTAGGTCTACAGACAAGAGACAATAGTTTTATCCCTCATCAAGCTCTACAAAACTACAGCATTAGAGGACATGAGATAAGAAATCTGACAAGTCCGAAAGGTTTCTATTTCCTCCAGGAATGAAGGAAGCTCAATGAAAATAACCTCAGGGTCTGGCACCCGGATTGCGGACCTCTTCTTTCCGCAGCTTAGAAAATGGCTAGACTTCAATTCACACGGGAACATGTGAATTGGACATTGGAGGATTGGGGATGAGTTCTCTTGACAGTTGAGGTGAGAGTTGGCCTCAAATCTTCCAGTGAGTGTACTTTAAGAGACACTCAGGAGAAAGGAACACCCCTATGCTGGTGGCATTCCATGCCCGCTCCGAATTCGTTGTTGTGCGAAGATCTCTAACCTCACAGAGGTACTTACAAGACAATCAAAGAATGCCATTTGCCTCCCACAGCAATGAGAGGTTCTTGTTAATGTTGGATACTGCCAGACCCCATATAGCACTGTCGACTACCAGAATGAAGTTGGAATTGAGTGCTTGGTGTGGCTAGCTCGACGTCCAGATCTGAACACAATCAAACTGATTTGGTAACCTAAAGCGATGAGTATGATGGCGAAACCCACTGCCACATTAGTTGGAAACAGCTGTTATCTTTTATCTAGAAATCTTTCACAAGGAATGCAAAGGTGTTTAACGGACGTGATTCATACCAGAGATGGAAATACTCGGTATTAAAGGGAACAAAAGTTTTTCTTTACTTTTTAGCTATTTTTGAATTTTTTTTTCTTTACTCAATAATTGTTTTTTAGATTGGTTATTAAACTTTTTCTCTCTAATTTCTTAGTTTTACAATCAAACCTATTTTTGGTATTCAAAATATGAATAAACCTAAATACATTAAAATTTCATGGTGATGCGTTAATTTTGTCTATCAATGTATTTCGCCTTCCTCAGGGCGAATTTATGAAGAAAAAAAATATAAATAGGAGATCTGGAGTCCACGTAGAGTTGCCGTTAAAAGTCCTTAGTTGTGAAAATTGTATATAATAATAGTTGAAATGGATGTGGTCCAATGAACGTAAAGTTTGTTAAGCTTTCGATGTATATATTCGTCAGGGCAAATTTTTGAGGAAAAAAAATAATACATCTTTATTCAACATAGACACGCAGGCAAAATATATACGCCCAAAGCCTGACAAACCTATAAAAGTTATGTTCATTGAATCACATCCCTCATCTACATCTAGAATACATGTATTGCTTTAAAATGTTTTTATATATTAAACTAAAAGTTAGTTGTTGAAATATTTAAAAAAAAAGTTTTCAATATGGTCAAAATGAACATTACCACAAGTATACGATAAATGAAATATACCTTTCAAAAACATACCTATGACTTTTATTTAACCATTGTGTGCCATAGTGATAGTTGACTCTAGGTAAAAAAATCAATAAATAATAGTTTTCATCAGACCTATCGAGTCAAGACATGCCAGGCCTCATGAGATGGCAAATTATGCATTGTTAAATTGAAAAATTTCAACCGCTTTGTGTTAAAACGTGTTGGGGAAAGTCAGATAGGCATGCAAATTACATGTCTATCTATATGGTGGATGGATTTTTTAAAAATGTTGATTGAATAATTTTTTTTATTTTTATTAATTTTTGTTTATTGCTAGAAATGGAAAAACTAGCTTTCACGTGTCATTTTGTAACTTGTGCGTTGAGCAAGTGTGCAGACACTCACCGCTTTTGCCGACGCCGTTAAGTTACAAAGCGTTTTGTCTTGGATCGCAAAATTACAAAGCGCCGTGTCGTACGCAACGTGGAAAACTATTTTCTTTTTGTCAAAAATTGAAACAAAAAAAACAAAAACAAAAAAACAAATGCATGCCGATTTCCCGTTAGGCGTGCGTAAAACACCACACCGGGGACAGGTAAATCGGCCTTGTAAAACTAAACAGACGAATGAAATAAAGTCATCCGTCCCCCGACGAGCACGCAGACAATAAACCCGATAATTAATAATAAGCCGAGAAGTAAAAGTCGGGCAAAAAAAAAGTGCCTATGGAAGAGAAAATCGATAATAAATATGAGTGCCGCAAGGCGAACGATGTGTATGTTAAAGGAAAAAAAAAGGGGAAAAAATGAATAAATCTAAAGGGAGTGTATGTTAATTTGTAAGTCCTTACCGTCGTATCTCTCAGCCTGCTCGGCGAGCTTAGCCTTATAAACCGTATCCTCGCGTTCCGACATTTTCAAACAAATACAATTCCAGACGAGTTGTTCAAGAAACGAACTTAATTAAAGACGGCCGGAGCTTTTCCTCCCCGAAATTCGACTCCGAGACGGGTCCGCTTGTTTGTATGGGTGTGTTTAAAACGTTCTCAGTCCAACTCCCAGGGTCGAAGGGCCGACTCGCAAGTGGAATGGAAGTGCAACTCGACTCGACTTTAGCCTGTCTCAATAATTCAATATTATGTATCCATCCGCCAGATACGTCACCGGCCCAAAGACTCGCCGACGGATTTCAAAAGAACCCAGGGACTCGGACAAGCGACGAAATTAAATAGAAACGGAATAGGAAACCGTGGTTATTTTTTTTCTTACGTTCGGTACGTTAATTATAAAGATATCCGTGAGAAAAGCAGTTGGATTATTTCTTGGCTCGTGGATTGAGGGTGAGTGTATCGATGTGGTTCGGGGAGACTCGATTCGATTCCCTTCATTCGATCCCTGAGTCGTCGAGCCGTCCCTGAGCCGAACTAGCGCTACTCAGTACTCACTACTCACTACCGGCCTAGCCCTAGCCCTTACTCTTTAGTGTTACCCCTTATTACAGATTACTGGGCAACGAGGATGTAAACTTAAATTCCTTGAGAGGACAGCGAATTAACACAAAAATAGAAGTATGGAGAAAGAAAAAAAACTGTTAATATTCTTCCATCGATATGTAAAGCATTCGAAAAAATTTATTAATTTATCTATACGGGTAAAAAAAAACAGTTACAAATAATATAGGGGTTTAGACTATATAAAAGCAATAATTAACAATTGAGACTTAAATTGTAATATACATTAAACAGTAATTAAAAATATGAACATATTCAACATATCAAACAGAAATAAAATATTGTAAGTATTATATCATAATACACATGTGTATAAAACTATAAAAGAACTGAGAAGGAGTGATAAAAATTTTATTAAACAACAGAACTATATAAAGAAATAAAAAGGAAATGTAAAAATATAATTAAACAACAGAAATATAAAAACAAGTACAAAGGAAATGAGAAGGAATAATAATTTAATTAAACAACAGAAATATATAAAAAAAATAAAAAGGATGTGCAAAAATGTAATTATACCACAGAAATATAAAACAAATATAAAGGAAATGAGAAGGAATGATAAAATGTAATTATACAACATAAATGTATATAAAGGAAATGAGAAGAAATGATAAAAATATAATTAAATAACAGAATTATAAAAACAAATATAATTAAATAACAGAAATATAAAGACACATATAAAGGAAATGAGAAGGAATGATAACAACTTAAGTAAACAACATAAATGTATAAACTAATAAGAAGGAAATGAGATGGAATGATAAAAATATAATTAAACAAGAGAAATATAAAAACAAATAATTAAATAACAGAAATACAAAAACAAATATAAAGGAATGATAAAAATTTAAGTAAACAACATCAATGTATAAACTAATAAAAAGGAAATGAGAAGGAATGATGAAAATATAATTAAACAACAGAAATATAAAAACATTTGTAACATTGTAAAAGCAAATATAAAGGAAGTGAGAAGGGATGATAAAAATATAATTTAAAAACAGAAATGCATAAACAAATCAAACACATTTTCCATGACTGAGCTTTTCCTTGCTTCTCTTTGTATAAATATTTCCAATGGAAATAGGTTTAGCAGTGTTTCTAGTGCAATTGTCAGGTTGTTTTCATTAGGCCCTATGATATATGTTTTGTCAGTTTTTGTATCCTGCTTAATCTTTTGGTAACTTATTTGTGCTGAGCTTTGGTCCACCAGAGCCATAGGATAATTTGGGTCTTATTACTGCTGTATAAAGCCAATGGGACATTTTTGGTTTTAATCCCCAGGATTTGCTTAGAGTTCTTTTTGTGATCATATATCCATTTTGCTAGTCTTAGGGCATTACAAAGAGATTTGTCAACCTCACGACTGATGGAGGAAACTATAGATCTTATCAATAGGATCTCTTTCAGGTTTGAGAATAAGGTGACACTTATTTGGATACCAGCACATAAAGGACACCATGGCAATGAAAAGGCGGATGGCCTAGCCAAAGAAGGTTCTAATACTGCGTTTGTCGGGCCACAACCGGTATTACCTCACTCTATGAGCACAGCGAAAGAGAGTATCAATAACTGGGGCATGAAACAATTCCTTAGGGAGTGGAATTTATCCCCCGGACACAGGCAATTGAAAGAGTTTGTTAAGGCGATCAAATCAGTAGAATCGAAATGGCTATTCTCTATTTCAAGGAAGGGAATTAGGAGGCTGATAGGTATTCTGACAGGCCATTGCCCACTGAGAAGACACCTCTCGTAATGGGTATCCTACCAGATCCCTTTTGCCGCTTCTGCAAAATAAAAGAAGAAACGGCAAGGCACTACCTCGCAGAGTGTGATAGGTATGCTAGATCTAGATTTAAAATCTTTGAAGGAGAGGACATCACCAAATCACTCCCCGAGATAAAATGGTCCAAAATCTTGGGGTTTGTGAACAAGTCCAAGAGATTTATGCAGGATACGTGAACCGACCAAGTCCCGGACCTTTTAGGGATGGGGTACGAGTCTACCCAGGCATTTAACCCCTCGGGTCTTGGTCGCCCACCCTGCATAATATATATACAGAGAAATCTTACAGCTCAGAACTGTTAGCTGATGTCAACGAAGAAGAATATTTCAATGCTTCTCCACTAATTTCTACACTATGATTGGAGGGAAATCTTACTTCCTCAGGATATATTTTCACTCAAATAATTACAGTAAAAACTGCCAATTTTTATTTGTATATATCAGCCAAGAACAGCTATTTAAATAAGATATTTTACTCTTAAATAATATAATCTGTAATAAAATAATGGACATATATATGCATGCTAGGTATGTTTCTGCCCCAAACATCAACATTAACATGAGTTGCACAAAATTTAATGTGAGCATATTTTAACTAATTCCATGATAATCTTTCACTTATACTTCTGTTTCAAGTAGATGATATTTAACTTGAAAAAACTTCTTCTTTTCTTTATTTGGCACTCCAACTTCAAAATGGAATAAATTAATAATTAATCAATTTTAATTAGAGTGGAAATAAAAAGTGTGTTTAACATTTTTCACATTTTTGCATCGATGCTATAATATAGTGTGCATAACAAACGCCAATTAAGTATGCTATAAAAATCTGTTTTTTGTATAAAACGTTAAATTTCCTCAAGACAAAAAATAAAGGAAATAACCATATAATTATTGAATATTCAGACAGGATTGTCACAAATTAGTACCAGGAATCCTTGTGGGGTAGCGAATTTTGAGACTGCTTTTTATTATCAAGTGCTATCTGGTTGTTCATTGAAAATCGTCTTATACAAATCAAGGATCATCATGAATTAGTACAAAAAAAACCATTACGAATTTAACAACTTGGTTGGATACTTGGAGAGTTGCTTAAAATTCACAAAAACTTGCAGACACACTGATGATGGCGAAATGCCAAAACACACCTCATAGACAACCCAAAGAGGAGAGGCATACCAAGGAGGTTATTAAGGATCAAATTACAACTGCCATTTACTCATATTTAAACTTATAATTTTGGTTCTAGTTCACTTATCATTATTCACATTTTTCAACTTCTAGCTTAGAAATAAGTAATTTACTGTTGTATGTCCGTCCCTCCTCGGCAGTTCCTTCTGACATTTTATTAATAAAATAATTCAATTTTGATGATCATAAGAGATTAGTTTTGGGTTTAGGTAAGCGTAATTAATGGCAACCGGGACAAATCAAGGCATGGCCAATTCTACTTAGTACTACTCTGCAATGTAAACTATCAAAATTATATTTATGATACATTTATTACAGATTGTTTACTCAGTTACAACAAGATGAGTCTAAAGGAAATTTCGAAAAGAAAATAGCATTTTTGGCAACACAAGGATTAAATTCCCACTAGAAAGTAAAGTATCAAAGTATATATATAGTACAAAGCATATAAGTAAAGGACCAAATAGATTTATTAAATAAAATAAGGCTACCTTTAAGCATGAAAATAGTTTCTTTGGTTTGAAGGGACAAGCTTCAGATGGCCGCGTGACGACCTGTTGTTGAAATCCACACTTTGAATCATGTGGTATATGAAGTCAATTTCCAGTTGCTTTGGTTTAAATGAAGGCGCATATGATGAGCAACTTTTCTTGTTTAGCAGGTGGTTTTTGTTGATCAGGCAGTTCTACACGAAACTATTAGTGTGAGTTTATTATTAAGATTTGTTACAGACAGTTCTACACAGAATTTGTGCTCATTTTGTATCGAGTAAGCCTTAAAGCGATACAAAAAAGGATTAACTTAGGGATTGAATGTGTTAATCGTAAACAACAAAAATTTTGTCAGAAATGATTTATTCTTGTATCCCAAAATCAATATAAAAAGTACTACAAAACTACTGGTAAATTCTCTTCAATTTTGTAAAAAAATGTTATTTTAATATAAACATGAAATTAAAAAACAATAGCACACTCGTGTGCGTTGTTTTTTAACATAAAAATATATATATAATAAATTTCAATTTATACAATAGAAACAAACTTTGCAATTCAATGCATTAAAATATATCATTTAAAATTATTTAACAATAAATACGATGATAGATGTTATTGATTTATACAATATACAAGTATTTTGGACACGAACAAATAAATAAAAAATATATTTTAAAAAAATTGTACTTTAAGGATGAAAATGTTATCAGTTTAAAGCAACCATCTTTCATCTATATAAAATTGTAGTCATTATTATATTTATTGCCTATCGCAAGGCACACAATTCAGTTCATTCCCAGTATCACTCTTAATTTTGTAATAACAAATTATACACTTAAAGTATGTGGAGTATATATATAAAAAAGAAAAGAAAAAAAAAAACAATAAAATACTAAGTCATTTTGGACGGAAGTAGAAGTTAGTGAAGGATCCTGTGATATCTTTTTTTTTTAATGATATAATTCTATATTTTTGACTGAATAAATTTTGTTTCAGCTCATTTGGCACCAAAAAATAACTTTCCAATTATCACAGAATAGAATAAATGGATGCAAAAGTAAAAGAGCCAGACAGACATGAAACCTTTGTTTGAAAAACACACAACAAAAAATATATAATACCAATTCAGACTTTTCTTTTTTTCTTCTAAGAATTATTCAAACATTTCAAAAATAGAAAAATACAATACAAAATTACATTCAGAACTAAAACATACTAAATAATCTTTGATCACTTTATCAAATCCAAATCAGATCAAACGCAAAGATACAAACAAAATTATATTAAAGAATTCAAAGCACAGGAATATAAGATTCACCCAATGCTAATCAATTAAGTAGCTTACATTAAAAAAGATCAATAACTTGTTTAGTTATTTCGTCCATATTTTCCACCAAAGAAGTGTTTTTTCCATTATTTCAAACTCTATTTGATTTATTAAAACTGTAGTCATCTGTCTGATTTAATTACTATCAACTTATACAATTTATAATAAAGATGAAGGATTACTTTTTATTACAATCGTTGTGACATGAAAAAAATCTTAAAAAGTTAACGATATATCTCTAATGTGAACTAAGTTAAAATCCATTGGGTTTATTACAGCATGTCTTTACTAATATATTACTTTTTGTCTTAATACTTAATAAATTCCCTAAAAGTTTTAAGTGATAAAATGGGACTAGGTGGGACGGAATTGGATTCTCTTTTTATATTGTAGAAAATTCTGGTGCTTTAGATATTATATATTATCCCTCTATTGGGCAATTAATTGTTATCTCTAAAGTCACAAGAAGCCGCTTTTATACGATATGTAATTGTAAGTCGCAAGAAATGATGACAAAATAACACAGATTAGAGTGGCTCCTGATGACACGAGTGCTATCGCTGAGTTGTATATCGGACAGTATGGGCACTGACTGCTTCCACATACTTCACAAATGTTCAGTAAATAAGTTTGAATCGCGTCAAATATCGTCTCGTTGAATCTCTCTAAAACAAAAGAAAACAAATATGCCAGATGAAAAAACAATGTTGATATATAATGTCATTTATTTGTATAAAATAACATCAAAAATATATTTAAAAAATGGACATCACTGGTCTGTCAGACATGTTTTGTCGTGGGCTTAGATAAGCAAACCAAAATCAGTAATGAGCAAATTACAAGTTCATCATCTTGCAGACCACAGGAAGTAATTTCATGAGGGGGGGATTGGTAAATTAAAAGGCCATGTCAGACCTTGTTTCAAGACTGTATAAATGAAAGGAACTGGGCTGAAAAGTTATTCTTCAGACTTGACTCCAACAGATTTCCATCTGTTTAATAATTTGGACAACATTACAGGAAAATGTTTTGGAAATATTCATTTACAGAGAATTATCTGACTATATTTTTTCTCAAAAGACGGAATTTTTCAGTTATGGAATTAAAAAATTGGTTACACATTGGGAAAAGTGTGTACAAAAAAAGGTGAATACTTGGAATAAAATTAGTTTGATATCATAAAGCTTTTTTACTAAGCAACCTTTACCTTGAAAAATGGGCATTTTATGTGAGACAACCAGATAAAACAATCATACTATTACTAATAATGAAACCTGAAGAATTTGAGTTGTTTAGATGCTTGTTATAATTGGTTGTTGCTTCTCAAGTAGTGTAATCCGAAAATTTTTTTAAATTGGACTTAGATCTCTCATCAATACGTGTCTTCTTCTGACCAAGTTGTGCAAGTCCTTCCTTCAAATTTTTTGCTTGATAATCAAACACTAATAATAATCAATATATTTGATAGCTGACAGCTAATAATTGATTTTCTTCTTAGTGTGACTTTAGTGCCATTTAATTAATTCTAATTTATCTGTTTTTACTATTTTGGTTGGTTTCTGTATAAAGTTCATTGTAACTCCTACAAAGCACTGTTTGATTGAGAGTGTTGTTTTACAAAATATACTATACAATTGTAGGGGTTAGGTAGGGTTAGCGTTAAGTTAGGGACAAATTAGGTTATGTTAAATAGGGTTAGGGACGAGTTAGGTTATGTTGGGGGGTAGGTAATGTATCGATGATTCAACTTTTTCTATAAGCAAACAAAAATATATAAGGCTTAACAGTTAAGAGTTAATTTCAAGACCTAAAACTAAAAATGGCGAAATGTCGAAACACTTCTGACAGGCTAACACCAAACGATGATTCACAGGCACGTAGTAACCTAACCCTTCCCTAATCATATCAAACCTAACATAACCTAAACCTAACTAACCAAACCTATGTTGCCCTTAACTTAACCCTAACCCTACCCTATCACTACAATGACTGGTTTTGGCCAAATTACAAGATAGATTTTGTGTTATTTCACTGTGTGGTATGCAGAGTTATGAAACTGTACTTAGGTGTTTACCGATCATCTTAGTCTTTTTTTTGTAATCGCCTTCAACCACTATGGGCCATTCAGGGCATTTTGGCCTTTGGAAGAAGAACAATTCAAGAAATGAAGGATCAGACCCAACAAGTCCTTCCTTCAAAGAGGCGTGATAAGTCAAAATTGACTTGGTGATTGAATAATCAAGTTACACATCAACATTTTTCCATGAAGTAGAGAAAATAAATGTGAGTGCAACTTAATTTCAAGGCCTAATACTGAAAATGGTGAAATGTCCGAAACATGTTTGCCCAACACCAAATTCGTGGATGTGTAACATATTTTAACATAACCCTAACCCTACCCAACCCCCACCATGATCGGGTTCTACCAAATCACAAGATTGATTTTGTGAGATCTCACTGTGTGGTCTGCAGGTGGATGAAACACCATCTCTCCTGTTTGGAATAAATGTTCAAGAAATGGAGGAATAAATCCAACGAAACCAAATAAGCAAATAACTTACACTATTTGCTGTAACAACCCTCCTCAAATCGACTACAACTCTGTTCCTCTCCCAGAAAGGAAAGTCAGCAATTTGGGACTTGACAAGGCTTACTTGGAATAAAAGTACTAATTGAGAACCTACCTGGAGCGTAATAATCATAAACACGAACGGGCAAAAATCTTGACATGTTAGCTACTGGGTACCATCTTTCAACTGTGAAATTTACACATATGTCTGTTTCGTCCAGCTGAAAAATCAAAATAATTAATTATAAATGAATCTAGATGTAAACAAACATTTTTGAAAATATTTACATAGTCAAAATAAAATATGACTTTCTGGCCATTAAATCTCGCTCTTTGGAGGTTCCTAACATTCCTCGTTAAAGTATATTCATCGAGTTTTTGTTGCTGGATTATATAACCAGTGGGGATTGTCACATCGAGAACTGCCATTCCAGATCGTACGGACTCATTAACATTTATCCATCTAAAAAAACAACATATTAAATATAAAAGAAAACTATTTAACCAAGCAGTAATACCTTTGACAACTGTTGTAAGTGATATGAGACTGATTTCTTCCATGGAAGTTAGCCTTTGTAACCAGATGGAAAGCCTTGACAGGTGGTTGAGTCTGGAACCTTGCTATGTCAACGTTATATTGAACCGACATCTGAAGAATTGCATAACCAGCTCCATGCGCTTGCACTTTCACCGTACCCCAGGCTTGTGGTATCTAAGAAGTTTAATCGATTAAAAAAAAGAACCTTAAAACAGTTGACAATATTTTACCTCAATCCGTTGAAGTCTGGCAATGTTATTATGATTGACATGCATAATCTTCGTTTGGCCTGAAAGCGCTGTTGCTTCAATTTTCACAGTCAGCTTTGAGACATCACGCAACCTATTTCTATTAGTATACTCTATCAGAGCTTGCATTGCCCAAGCAGTATCCTGAAAGAAATTAAACCATAATTTAACTGTAAAAATTAAAGAAAAAAGCTATAAGGGGAAAAATTACGTTATATGATTATAATTAGGCTAAAAATTAAAATAGAAAAAGCTTTACTTCACTATCAGAAATAAGAAAGATACATATATGAGGGTTAAAAAAATGCTACTCAAGGTCTACTCTTAATATAAAAATATTTCTTGATTGTTGATTGATAAGATGGAGCATTATTTGGACAGATTAAATACAAAAAATTAAACACCAAATACATTTATTTGTTTAGCGCTGTTTTACCTACTGAAGCCATTGTTCATGTGAGGCTAGGCAAACGAAATATATACATCATGCACACACATATAAAATAAAAACAAAAAATTGCACCATGAAACAATAGCCAGCAAAAAATAGATCAAGTTTTAATTCTTGGGTTGGGTTTTTAAATTATATTATTCTCTAGTAAGATAGCAGTGAGCATCCAAAAGAAGAGAACGATGCTTACAAGAGATGTTTCCAACATCAGCACACATTTTTATACACTAGAAGTAAAACATAAAAATTGAAATTTGATGGGATTTTTTAATAAAAGTTCTTGATAATAAATATATATAGTTAGTAGCAGTCTTATTTTTAATATTTTTATTTGTCATTTCGGAATTTTCAATGGTATAATAAAATATATGAAGGACAAAATACCTGAGTTGAAGCCCAACCGCCATCAGTTAATCGTTGTGAGTTCAGCCATTTGACAATCGAATGAGTAGTCAACTCTTGACGTGCCACATGCACTAAAAGAGCATAGGCGGTTGTTTGTATGTTCGACGCATCGTATCTGTAAGGCAACCTTGGCAACAAGAAAGGCTTTTGGTTTTCCATTTTGAAAGGCGGTAATGGAACTTGCTCTCGACCCCAGTACATGTAACCACCTAGTTGAAACGGTGAAAATACAGAATTATTTCATATTAGTATTATGTTGAATTTAACACTAACCTTCGATTCGAGCGTGGGTATTTAAAATCATAAATGCCATTTCTGCTGCAGGCGTTTTACTAAGCATCAATGCATATGCTACAATGGCTACCTCAAACGGATCGCCATATTTTTGCAAATAGACTAGATTACTTTCTAACCATTTAACAGCACGACCTTGAGCTAAGGAAACATTTGTGCCCAAACCCTACACAATCAGTAAAAACATAATCATATTTAAGCAAATATATTACATCAGGCAAAATACATACGCCAGCCAAATCTTTGACTGTATCCAACATAATAAGAACGTGTGCCGTAAGTGAGATATTTCTAAAGCGTAATCTTTCATCTTCGATACCACTATACCAGTGAGTTGTATTTACTTTCCTATCGGGCATCCATGTGACCTCATGGAATGCTCCATCATGATTTTGGTGCAACAAAACCCACCTCACAGCTTTTGCAATAACCTAAAAATAAATACTATTAATAAATGTTACACCAGAAAACTAATGTTATATGTATGAATATTTTTTTTAAAGATAGGACAATAAAATAATATGCAGGATTGTATTAAATGAGTTGCAAAAAACAAGAGAACCTTCCAGTAAAAGTAGGTAAAAAAAACTTAAAAAGACAATTTGAATTCATTTTATAACAAACAAAAATAGATATTTTTGGGCTTGAATAGCTGGCTGAGGGCAATTTTTTCATCTCTTATGTCCAGTGTTCCCCATAAAAATCAGATTTTATCTCTGGATTTTATCCAATGTCCAGAGTATTACAACTTTTGGAAAGTTGAAGTTCTCTTCTTTCCGCTCTTTGTTCTTCTTCTATGTCAACAAGGTTTAGATTTTATGCCATTATAAGAGAGAGAAATATGGATGAAATAAACAAAACCTCCTCAAACGTTTTATTTTATATTGCCGTTGCTAATTTATTTACAGAGGCAAAATTTTCGCCACATGCAGTTTATATAGGTCTAAATCACTGTAAAGTTTCCTGCTGATCAGCCAATTCATATTAAAGTTATCATCATTATTGTGATTTAAAAAAAAATCAAAGGGGGAAAATTTGACAAAAATAGACCTTTCTTGTCACTACATCAAAATTGTATTTAGGGGTTGGATAGTGATGAGGATATGAAGGTTGGATGGTTAGATTGTACTGGGGATGGGCTTGACTTAGATTAGAACATTAAGTTAGGGTTAGGGATATGTTTGGCTTAGGTTACACACTGTTAAGGTTAAAAATGGGTTTGGGTTAGGGCTGGAAGACATAGTTGCAATTTAAGTACATAATTTGTGACCAACAATCACGACTTTTTTTTAATGCAATAACAGCATGTTTTTGTCTTGTCCTTTAATTGGCTATGAAATGTCTAGGAAATATTCTGAGCCTAAGAATAAATTGTAACTCAACAATAAGGAGATTGACAAAAAATGAGTAATATATTCTCATTACAGTGGGGCTTACAATAAAACTGATCAGAACAACATACGTACAAGTGGGTCAATGTAGATGAAGTTTTCCCATTCATAAAATGTTGCCTCTTGAAAAACCTTTGCACAGTATGCAGTAAGCCATACACTTGGTGAAGAATGGTTCCTGAAACATCATAAATTGTACAAATTGTATGAATTTTTTTTTATTTGATAGCTTACCAATCACTCCTAAATAAACTGAATGATCCATCATCATTCATAAACGAAAGGGCTCGTTGATATCCTATGTTCATATGGTAGAATGATTGTTTCTCTTGAGTATGGTTTCTTTGGTTAATAAGCCTCATAAATAATGTTGTGTACATGTTGGCAGCGAAACTGAACATCGTCTGTTCAGCACAATCCTAAAATTTTTAAACATTTTAATAATAACATTACTCTACTCAAATTATGAAAGAGGAAAAATTATGTGCAAACCATTGGAAGATTTAAAAGTGATGTAGCATTAACTGGCATCGTCGGGAAAATTGGTCCAACAACATCTCCCACAACAGAAACATAAGCTTTGTTCGATCCAAAAATGTAATATCTGTCTTCTTGATATGGTATAATCGGTGTGTCAGTAATATTCACATGCATATATTGGAATATATATCCTCTGGTGCTTAGATCCAATAAAATAGACTGATGACGATACTGGGGTAGTCCATCCGGCTATAAAATTAAATTAAGCATTTTAAAATAATTTGAAACAATTTTAAATAAGCATCTCGACAAACATAACGTAAGTATGAACAGAAAATACATGTACTTATAAAAATCAGTCTAAAAACTATAACTTAGACATACCAAAACATGTAGATTCTTTGTTACTGTATCTTTTCCCATTAGTGTAGAGGCCATTACTGTGACTTTAATATCACCGAGTCTAGTAGGGACAATAGGTAAATAGACGATAGCTGCATCTTGAGCCTTAATAAATATAAAAAATTGATGTTCTCCATATGAAGTTCTTGGATTATAAGATCGCACCTACACAGAAAATGTTGAAACGACCCATTAATACAAACTTAGAAAGTTTTACAGTTGTATAAAAGTTACATACGATTCCATCCATCTCAACGTGGACGAATTTATAATCTTGCGATCCGGCTAACACGACCACAGCTTCTAAATTCATCGTCATGTAATTGAAGACGGCCACCCTTACACCAACTTGTTCTCCTTGATGACATATTTCCGGAATTTCGACATTTATGTAAAATGGTAGAACACCCATATACTAAAATAATTGTAAAATAATTAATTATAAGTTGATAGTGAATAAAAACAGAATAATTTACCTCTATTGGTTTTGTTAGCATACCAAACCCTAATACCGGGCTCATTCCAATTGCAGAAACAATCCAATGGGCAGGCCTTTGTGGTACATCAACCTCAAATATAAAACGTCCATGAGGACCAATATTTATATCATGCCATAGCCAAACATTTTCATAATGACGCTGAATTTTACTGAAACGGTTCATACGGAAATTTAACAGATCTGTATAATTGAATCGCGGACCTGGAAAAAAATTAACAATTAATTCAACTCTTGACAATTCCATCTTATAAACAATATTGTATAAAAATTGTAATTTTAATTATAAACAAGAATTATAAAATCAATTAATCGTGGATATGTAATCTAACCTATGCCAAACCCCTATTTAACATGACCTAACCCTGTTTAACCAAACACATCCCCTAAATCTAATCATAGCTAACCTAACCCTTCCCAAATCCTAACTAACCCAACCCATCCCAATCCCTACATAACCTAACATATCCCAAATTCAATCTAACTCAACTACCTAACTTAATTCATTCCAAACCCTACTTAGCCTGTCCCTAACTCTAACCCTACCTAACCTAGCACAAAACCTACTCAACATAACCTAACACTAATCCTACTTAATTGCACACCCAGCAATGCAAAAATGGTCATACACAAAAAAATTCTATCCAGCCCAAAAATGTTTTCTTACATGCAGCTTCATCAGTTCCATCTTCACAATCCATGTAGCCATCACATTTTTTCTCTAATTTAAAACATCTTCCGTTTAAGCATTCTGCAAAGCCTTGAGTATCATTGCAAAAAGTCGATCTTCTTGACACCTCTACATCAGAAAACACAACTAATCCAGCAAACCTGTAACAATTTGTCAGTTACACATAAAGATACACAATATAGTAAAAAGCCAAAATAAAAAAAAAATATTACGCAAAAGTTCTATTTGCATCTATCCCATATGTTGAAGAAGGAAAGTAAACTAATTCTTCAGGATCACCTTCATGAGAATGCCAAACCTGTGAGTAGGTGCCATTTGTTTCTTCATCAAAAATAGCCATTTTTTGTAATACCTACAATATATGTTGGTAAATAAAAAAAAACACTGAAAAATGGTATTACTTCATTAATATAAACAATGCAATACTTTTGCATAAGTGAGTTCATTTCCTCCTTGAATACTGAAGATGGGTTTATCAATTGCAGAGAGCCCAACGTATGCTCCAGGTTCTCCATATATGGCAATTTCCACTTGTTTACCTGTTCTGGCTTTTCTGTTGTTTATCAGGACTGTGAACTACACAGGGGAAAATTAGTAAGACGATCAAAGGGGAAAAACAGACAACTTAATTAACAACTACTTACATTATTTCTAGAAATGCCATTTACTGGGAATGTCAAACTGTCAGCAACAATATTGCCATATCTGCCAAAAGAGTATACAATAACAGTCGCCGCAGGAGACATTTCAGCAGACAAGGCGACAGCGAACGTTCTGATGTTGTTTTTCATAACCTCTTGGCTGGTATAAAGAATGATTCCCTTAGCCATTACAATATAATCGAAGCTTTCCATGAAAAAATTACTTTGCACGTGGAATATAATATACTCTCCGACCTGTGAAACATTTTATGTAATTTGTATTTCATGTAATCAATCGTATGCTTCTACATTTACAAACTACACATAATATTTACCTTAGCATCTTTGGTCGATGTCGTTATTTTAATGTGGTGGTTGTTAGGTGAATAATGAGCCATCAGAAGCAATTCAGTCTGAGCCCTTTCACCTAAACTGTCTCTAAAATAAGCTGAAACCTTAATGGATTCAACATCATTAAGAACCTCAACTGGATTAGTACTACTGTCTTCATCCAATCCTAAAATATAAATTAAATAAACATTTTCATCAACTTAAATATAACTTAATATGTGTTGTTTATTTAATTGTTTTATCAATGTCTCATTTCTATACAAGCATAATTATTCATTTTATAAAATCTCAAGCTTGAGTTATTGTATAAAATCTGTGGGGTGATGGACTTGCTGGATCATCTCTTATTATCTTAGTCTGCGTATTGCTGTTGCATTTGTCTTGGCAATTACATTAATTGGATTGTATGATTTTCATACAATGTTTTTAACTGAGATTGAAAAATGGTTAAACTTATAGACTAACATAGGAAAAAAATTTAAGTTAAAAACTAAGCAACAAAAACTGGTTTGAATTTATACCCAATTTTTCACGGAGATCCAATTTGAAAGGCCATACACCTAGAAACTCGGATGACATTTTAATTGCTTCTATATCTAATGAACGTCTCCCTCTCGACTTCATCACAACTTCGGCTGATATCTCCATTCTTGCATTTCTCAATCTTTCGGCTGGTACAGGAGAACCATCATGAAAGGAAACTGCAATCTAACAAGAATGCATTAGACGAGCATCATTTGAGAAGTCTTGTCTTATTGTCTTTTTACATACATATGTAGAAGTAGGCATCGCCGGTTTGAACACTTGAGGCGAACCGCCTAGAAAGTTGATCTGAAGCGAAGAATTGAAAATTCGAGAGACTGAGCTGGCAGTTATGATTTCATCGAGAAAACGTTCACCGACTGTAGCAGTAACCATGATTTCCATTCCGTCAAGTGACGGAAAATGTTTTTCAAGTTCTGACATTGGATATTGGAATTGGTACACTCCATCAAACTGAAAGTAAGTGTTTTCATTTATAATTTTATAACAAAAAATATCAGGTATTATTACCAGCAATACTTACAAATCTTAAATGTGGTACTGTATTTGGTCTGTAGTAATCAGATGCTGACAGCCAAAATGGAAAAGATTCCTCCTGAAGAAAAAAAAATCCATTAAGGTTCCCATTTATATTAAAATTTTAATATACAGGTCAAACAAACTTTTTAGGTATTAATACATATATGTTTAGTACTCATAATTGACTATATTAACTATTTTAATTAATTATACTTTTTATCTAAGGTCTTGGTTGAGATAAAAAAGGTAATAGTTAGCAGGATTTGAACTCACAACCTTCGACTCAATACGCCGCTGCTCTAACCACTTGACCTATCATGACAATCTCATCCAAGACCTTAGATAAAAAGTTTAATTAATTAAAAATTGTATGTATTGTTTATCAGTAAAACCCCTCTATAGTGACCACTTCTTTTAATGGACAACTTTTACATTCCTCCATTAAAAAAGAAAAGAAAAGTTCCGTTGCTTCTCACATATACTGTTCTGTGTTAATTTGAATTTTGGTAATCTATTTTTGGGATAGGTACAATTTGGAAACAATTTTCTTTCGCAGAGAAAGAATTTTCTTTCTTCTTTGTGTTTCATATTTTTTTCTGAAAACACTTTGATTTTATATGTTTTGTTTCTTCTTCAAACGCTTCTTTTTTGTATAGGAATAAATTGTTCTGGCTTTTGTTAACTCTTTTTTTCTGTGTCGTATTTTTTTTGACAACTACTTTGTCTTTATACATTCTGTTTTTCTTCAAAACTTTTTTTTTTTTTTAACGAGGGTTAGCAATAGCAGAGGTCATATAAACCCTCGGGGTGCCGGTGTTTTTGAAAAAAAGCCCATTTGTAAGTATGTCGGGTTCGAATCCATCAGCCTTGCATTCGAACCCGGGACCTTACAGCAATGAGCACCGTGTCAACGCCTAAACCGTTGTGGCCACTGACACCCCAAAAAAACCTTTCAAACTAAGATGTTTTGTTATTTATTTTATTTTATGTGTGTGTGTGTGTGTGTGTGTGTGTGTTTTAATTGTAAAAACACTTCTTGTGTGTTCATTATAGAGGGGTTTCACTGTATTATTATTTTTATTAATGTAGCAACACTTTGAAAAAATTGGACGTGAGTTCTGAAAAACGTGAATCTTTGAAAAGTTCCTGTACATTTTAATAAAACAAAATTAAAGCTCTAAGCAAAAAGCTGATAGCTGTAAGATAAATATTTCAAACCTTATCACACTTAATCACCAAAGGTTGTTACTATTTTTCGGTTAACAGTTTTAAGACAACGCGATAACTTATTTGGAACATGATGGTACTTACAAAACTAAAGTACTTCTCTACGACTGTGTTAATATCAAGATTTCGGTAAGTTTTTTCTTTATTTATGGGTTGAATGGTGGCTTTCAGGGTCAAGTTTCCATGTACTGGAGCACCGTTTGTATAATTTGCCATGACAGTTCCAGTCAAATATTTTTCTGTGTTAAAGAAAAAAGCGGGCATCGTAATATTCACCTGAAAACAGGGGGAAAAATTAAAATAGTGCTATTTTCAATAAAGAAAAATATCAACATACTTCAAATCTAGTTTGATAATACTCTTCAACCCTAAATGTATATTCTTCAACTTGACCTTGTGCGGTTGCTTGTATGGTCCAATTTCCAAATGTGGGTTGGTCAGAAAGTTGATAGTTTAAAGATACTGTACCTAAATTAGACTAAAGGACAAGTGTTAAATTAATTTCAATGTAAGACCCATTTTTTAGTAATTTACCTGTTTTGACAGCCAGCGTCTCATTATGTACCGTTTTGGATCGAGCATGTACACATCAACGGTATTATCAAAAGCTTTAAGCTCTGTGTTGATTGGGATCACTCTGAATTTTACTAAAACATAAAATCTTTAATTGGCAATATCCTAATCAACACAACCAGGAGCTTACCAGTATCTCCTTGCATGTATATTGGTTTATCTAACTGTATAAAAATTGTCATTGATCTTTGTGAAAATGTAAGTTTAGTTTCATTCACAAATGCTGAACCACCATAAAGAGAATCATAGAATCCCTCAACTCTTAGTTTATAGTCACCGACGACACTTGTTGGTGGCACCTAAAAGAAAAGTAAACTTGAAAATAAATACAGATTTAGTACAAAATATTTACTTAAATATCGAATCAATACCTTCATCATTAGCATTTCGGTAATGCCAAGTTTGGTTGGTCTACTTGTTCCGCTGATTTCTACCCCGCTGCGCTGGATAGAGGCTCTTATGATTAAAGGATATTTACTTTTCAGAACTGTTGCAGTAAGTTTGTACACCTGGCCAGGTCTGACTATTTTACTTGCTACTATAAAATAACTCCTAAAACAAGAACAAGCAATAGAAAAAGAATTCAACCAAGAACTATTCAACCAAAAATAAAAAATAATAAAATCTTACGGCTCTCTTATTATTATATTATTATTGTCAACCACGTTGTTCCATGATGGCATTTGCTGTTTGGTACTTGGCCAAGATCTATCGTCCATATTCCCTCCTCTATTCCCATCTTGACTTAAAGACGGCCCAGCAAAAAACATAAATAGAACACAAAGGCTGAAACAAAAGACATTTAATAATTATTATAGTAAATTAATACATTATAATAGAAATTAATTACAATATATTAATTATTGTAATTATAGTTAAATAAAAACAACATATCGTATTCGCTTTTATATAATTATTAAGACAATAAGTAAAATAAAATGTACATAATTTACCAGTCCAACATTTATCAATGATGAATACTCAGAAATGAATAGGTATATTTAAAATTTATTCTTGTTCTATTAACTTTAATTAAATTAACCATTATTCTTGTTAGTTGGATAAAACGAAATATAAAATACAAACCAAAAACAAACAAATGTTAATCCTCATTTTTAATAACACATTTACTTAAGAATAGTAAACATGAAGATTATGTTATCTTCACCATATTATTATGAGAATAATAATATGGTATAATATAATAATAATATGGTCAATATTATTGTGAGAATGAGTCATTGAGATCACCAGGAATTACAGTTATTGCTGCAAGATGGAACCCTTTCCATAGTGCCCGCCAGATCCTAAATGAAGTACAAGATGTTTTGGCAAGGCCTTTATCAACTTTACAAGCACGTCAATACGAATCATTTGTGGGAGTTGGTCTCACATCGTATGCCCCTTTGGGACGATCTGCAGCAACAGCCTACCACCACAACTCATGAGAATCTGGCGCAGCAAACGCCTAGAAGAGAACACCAATTGGAATGCTGTTATGTTTACTGATGAGTAGCGTTTCTATCTGTGTAGTGATAACAGGCACCGAAAAATCTACTGAGAACAGGGTATGCGTACAATGCCCCAATTTGTGCTCCCTTCAGTGCAGTTTGGGGGGGGGGTGTAATAGTCTTGGCTGGGATTTACACTGGAGGACGAACTGGATTCCATATTGTTGAAGACAACAAATCTATTTCTACAGAACTTATTTAGCAGTACTGATGCAGTGCCTGTAGCAGAAGTATATACTATTACTGTTTGGTAAACTATTAGCTCAACAATTTTGGACTGAATTCATATCCTTCATAAATGGCTCCTTGGACAATTTTACAAAACAAAGGAAAACTTACTGATATCATAAAATGAAGTGAATTTCACACAATAGTAAAAATGATGTACTATATCACAAGAATTTGAAATCTCTTCTTAAATCTCCTTTGTTACAATGGCCAATACCAAAGTTATAAACTTTTTTTTTAACTTTTTCCCTAAGTATTGAAGAAATTTGGACAAAGTCAGAGGTAAAACTAAGTTGACAACCTGCAAATTTTGTATTTCACTACATAACTTTTTCTTACTTCACTACATTTTGATTTCTGTATTCATTATATATTTTTCATCTTCCACTATTTTTTTTAATCATATTTCATTATTTTTTTCACATGTTACTATATTTTTTCATATTTCACTACACTACATTTTGTTTTTCATATAACTACATATCACTATATATTTTTCAGATCCTAGATCTCACCTGGGCAGAAACTTTGGTCAACAATGGACAATGTCCATTACACAACCCTAGTCCTGGGTGTGCCGCAGTCTACCATCCACGATAGTCTCCAGTGGTTTAAGGCTACCAAAAGTTTCGATCAGAGAAAAGTGAATAGTCTACCACAATGACGATAGCTAGAAACAATCAGTTTATTGCTCTTACCACACTATGGAACCATCATTTAATAACTTCTGAGAGAAGAACTCAACTCCCAACAGTCCATAATGTAAGGGTGAACTATAAAACAGCATTAGAAGGCTTTGTGTGAATAGCCTAGTCTCTAGACGTATCGTATCAGGTTCCCTACGACTGGAGAAGCATTGAGTAGAAAGGTGACTTCGCAAATCAGAATCTTACTTGGTCAGTTCAACAATAGGGGGGGAGGGCTGTTCTCGTCACAGATGGGTGCCGGTTTAGATTGTGACAATCTGATGAACGCTTTGCTTTGTGTTATGCACGAGTCACAGCTTTTTTTTTTAAAGACAGTCAATGGTATTGGGTGGAATCAAAATCCATGCTCGTGCTGAACTCATTATCATTTAGAATGGATTGTTGAGTGCAGTAACATTGAAGAAGTTCTTCTGGAAACTGTGATCCCATTCACTCCACTTATTGGGAACAACTTTGTGTTAATGCAAGATAACGTTTGACCACACCTAGTCAGAGTCGTCACCCATTACTTGGATAATGTAGGGATTGCTTAATGAATTGGCCAACATGTTCTCCTGACATGAATCCTATAGAACACTTACGAGACATGATAAAAAGATGAGTTAGACATCGTTTGCAGCCTCCAACAAATGAACAGCTTCAAACCATATTATAGAATGGGATTCTATTTCATAAGATAAAATCCGAACACATATTTCCTCAATGCCTAGGAACTTAAGACCCTTATTAAGAGGAGACGAGAGTAAAACCAGGTAATAACCACCATGATTAAATAATTTTTGTTTCGCATCAAGTTTAACTCGGTTTACATTAAAATAACTATTTTGGATTAATATAACGACAGATATACATATAGTTTCAAATGAAAACAAAATACTAGTGTCCAGTTTTTGTTTTTGAGTATATTTTTTTCATATTTCACCACATATTTCTCATCTTTCACTATATATTATTTTATTCTATATTTCACTATATTTTGTTTGTCTTATTTTATTATATTTGTTTCATATTTCACTATATTTTGTTTTTCCTATTTGATTATATTTTTTCCATATTTCACTATATTTTATTTTTCATATTTCACTATAGTGTTTTTTATACTTCACTATATTTTGTTTTTCCTATTTGATTATATTTATTTTCATATTTCCTTATATTTTGTCTTTTATATTTCACTATATATTATTTTATTGTATATTTCACAATGGAATTTTTTTATATTTCACTAAATATAATATATATATTCTGTTCATATTCTACTATATTTCGTTTTTCATATTTCATTATAGTGTTTTTTTATACTTCACTACATTTTGTTTTTCCTATTTGATTATATTTTTTCATATTTCTTTACATTGTGTTTTTATATTTCACTACATATTATTTTATTGTATATTTCACAATGGAATTTTTTATTATTAAATTTTTAAATTATTAATTATTAATTTTAAAATTATTAAACTTTAAATTATTAAATTTTTAGTATGTTTTTTATACTTCACTATATTTTGTTTTTCCTATTTGATTATATTTTTTTCATATTTCCTTATATTATATTTTTCATATTTCACTATATACTACTTTATTGTATATTTCACATTGGAATTTTTTCATATTCTACCATTTTTTTTTTCACTATAGTATGTTTTTTATATTTCACTATATTTTGTTTTTCCTATTTGTTTAATTTTTTTCATTTTTCACCAGACATTTTTTTATATTCAACTATACATTTTTCATATTTCACAATATATTTATTCACATTTCATTACATATAATTTTCATACAATATTTCACTAGATTTTTCACATTTAGCTAATTTTTTCTTGTATTTCACATTATTTCGTTGTTTCTATTTCATTTTTCTTTTTACTATTTCATTATATTTTTTTCATATTTTAACTCTAAAATTTTTTCCTGTTCAATATACATTTATCATATTTCACAATATATTTGTTCATATTTCACTATATATTTTTTTTCATACAATATTTCACTACATATTTTTCGTATTTCCCAAAAATTTTCACATATGACTAATTTTGTACCATATTTGACTATATTTCGTTGTTTCTATTTCATTTTTCATTTTCCTATTTTTTTATATTTTTCATATTTCACGTTTTTCCATATTTCTCAATATATTTTTTCATATATCACTATATTTTTCGTATTTCACAATAAAGTTTTTCATATTTCGCTATTTTTTCATATTGCACTATATTTTTTTCATATTGCACTATATTTTTTTCATATTTACCTATATACCAATTTGTCCTATTTCATTATGGGATTTTTTCATATTTAACTGAACATTTTTCGTATTTCACAAGTTATTTTTTCATATTTTTAATATTTTACAAATTAATTTTTTTTTTTTAATTCATACTTCACTATATTTCGTTTCAACGATTTTATATTATAAAAATAACAAGGAATTATTAATAACAATAGCTCGGAAAAAAACAAACATTGTGAAAACGAATTTAATTGGAATATATCAGGGAACACGTGTCACGGGAATATGAGATGTAAGGTGACAGGTGATATGATGGCCCATGAGCACGAGCTTTTCTTCCGTTTGACGAACATTTGGGTTACATCCGGAACGATTCAACCCAGGAAAAAAAATATATTGGCTTCCATACATAAATGTTTGTTAAGCAAAGGTTGCATTTTACTTCCGTTTCCTTTGTCACGAATCCAATTATCAATGTTCCTTGATACGAGTCACGGTTGTATTGAAATTCAATTTTTTTTGTATATGAAATGAAGTGACACCTCAATGCACGATTGACACTGCGCAATAGTTTTTTCAGTTGTACTATGCTTATTTATCATATACAAACAGACAACACACACAATTGGCCCGCCTAAAGCATTTCACACTCTAGTGAAGCGTATAAAGCGAAATACGTCTAAGTTTAACGGCGAGGACAAGCGGACCTCCAATATCAGACAAGAACACAAGCCACTGGAGACAAATTTATAAACTTTGCTCTAGTAAACTTTTACACATTTCATATAGCTGGTTATCTTCTTGGACTTTTTCGCCCTTTTTTTGTACATCGTGTAACAATTCTTGGTTTGTCTGTATAATTTGTTTTTATATGTATTTAAATCTGCACGCCGAATGATCATTATGAGCATTTTTCTTTCTGCTTACTCGCCTCGGGATCGTTTTGTATCTCTTATAATACTTAATAAAAAATAATTATACAACAAATAATTTATGCTGTATTTTCGCCAACTCGTTTCTTCCCACATTTTTAGAAACTGAAAAATCCTTATATCCAGGTGAAAGTCTTTGTAACTTCTAAAACTAGAACGTAGTTTAAAA